TTTAAACAAAGCAACTATAAAATGTCATTTTGGGGATAGTTGTAATTTGAATATAAAGTGGTTATTAGTATATATTAAGGTATTATTTAATTTTGTTAGATAATGGCATGGTGATTGTATATTATGTTAATTTTTAATTATACTTTATCAGTTAATTTTTAATTATACTTTATATCTGTGGGTAAAATGTTATGTGGGATTTTTTTTTTTGAGACATTTCAGGAAAAAGTAAAGTATTAGTGGTAGGGGATAGGGAATAGATGTAACCATGTTGCTCAAATATTGGTAACTATTGAAGCTGAGCAATGGATACATGGGGCTTGTTATTCTCCTTTCCATTTGTGTGTCTGTATTTTTAAAAGTTTCCAGAATGAAAAATTTTAGAACACTAAATACAAAATTAACATATACTATAATTATTGTAGAAATAGAAAACTTGAAAAAATAGAGAAAAGCCTAAAGGAAAAAGATCATGCTTTCAGGTATATCTGCTGTTAACATTTTGTTATCTTTTCCACATGTATAAATATATACACATACATTACTTTTTTTAAAAAAGGATTCTGATGTTGAATATTTAAGTTTTGTAACTTGGTTTGTTAACCTTTCACTGTATTATGATTGATAGTTCTCAGCATTATTTTGGTGGTTTCACAGTATGTCAATATACAGAGATAAATCAGTTTAACTATTTCACTGTTATTGGGATTTTAGGTTTCTTGTTTTTCACAACTCATAGATATGAGCATCCTGTGAGTAAAATGATCATTCACATCCATGCATACTTCTTTAGGACACCTTCCTAGAAATTGAATCATTGAGTCAGAGCGTGCACACATACACAGTATATAATTTGATGCAAATTATAATTTAGCCTACGGAAAGGTGGTACCATTTGGTCCCTGCACCAACAGTAATGGAAATGCCTGTCTTTCTGTACTTGCAAAGCCAGAAGGCAGACTTGTTCAGATCCATGAGGAACACACCAAAGTGATGAAGTGCAGTCGCTGCACAGAGGCATCTCAGGTTTCTCCACAGTATGAATTGTTGCAGAATGCATTAGGAAAGGCAGGGTTGGTGCATTGAGCATCTGCATAGTCGCACCTGCCTGTGATTTATCAGTGAAGTGGATGTGAACTTAAAGAGAACCCCAGTGTCTCTGGTCCTTCAGAAGAATCTTTAATCTGGTTCAGAATCCTGTGGTTTCAGCTCTGTAGCATATATTGAGCCAGTTATTACTAGTTTTTACCATGTGGTGTCTTTTGGATGCTTTCTGCAGATTGCTTGGCATGGATTTCAGTGTGGTACTTTCTTATCTATGCATTCTAATATGTTCTTTTACATGTTCTTTTACATCTTGTTTGAAGATCAGTTTGTCTTGAAGCACTCTCAGCCTTACTTATAGTTTTTGGTTTATCTTGTATTGTTTGTTGTAAAACCTGCAGTGTATTTACATTTTGAGGCTTTCATACAATAGTTGTTAAATCCAGGAACTGCCAATTATACACACACAAACACAYACACACACACACACACACACACACACACTTGTATATAATATATATATATAATTTGTATATACATGCATAAATATAAATTATGTTATATATATTTATGTTATATGCATATACACATACACGTATGTATATAACATAAATATATATAATTTATACACACACACACATATAAATAAATAAATTACCCTTGATACCTCCCCTTTTAGATCAAAACATACAGATTCCTGGTGTTCTTTTTAGGGAAAATGGGTTCTAATGAAAACACCTTTGAACTTATTAGTTGTCTGTAATTTTCTATTAGTTGAACTTTCAGCAACTTGACACACATCCTTGAGGAATAACTGAAAACTGTCATCCTTTCAGAATAATTAGACATAACTTTGCCACCATGGATTTTCTGTCTACTCCAAGAACATTTGTAAGAGTGTCAGAAATTATTAGAAGCACCTCCTAGTCATTATTGTATCACCTGGCTAGTGCAAAGCTTAAAACAAAATGTATAGGAACCCACAAAATTAGCTATCTCCCAGAAGAACTCATTTTAGCAATTATTTTTTAATATAGTAATATATTTTTTTTAAATACAAATTTTCCTGAAGCCCACCAACCAAGAAAAAGCCCAGGACTGGATGGACACACAATTGAGTTCTACAAGACCTTTAAAGAAGAACCAATACCAGTACTTCTCAAGCTATTTCATGAAATAGAAAAGGAGGGAGCACTTCCAAACACATTCTATGGGGCCAATATTACCCTGATTCCCAAACCAGACAAAGACACATCAAAGAAAGAAAACTTCAGGGGTTGGAGTTGTGGCTCATGGGTGGAGCATTTGCCTAGCATATGCGGGGCCCTTGGTTCGATCTTCAGCACCACATAAAAATGGATGCAATGAGGGTGTTGTGTACAACTACAACTTAAAAAATAAATATTAAAAAAGAGAACTTCAGACCAATATTTCTATTTCTATAACTTCAGACCAATATAGATGTAAAAATTCTCAATAAAATTCTTGCAAATTGAATACAAAAACATCAAAAAGATAGTGCATCATGATCAAGTAGGGTTCATCCCAGGAATGCAAGGTTAGTTCAACATATGGAAATCAATAAATGTAATTAATCACATCAATAGACTCAAAGATAAAAATAACATGATCATCTCAATAGATGCTGAGAAAGCATTTGATAAAATACAGCATCCCGTCATGTTCAAAACGCTAGAAAAAATAGAAATAACAGGAACCTCAACATTGTAAAGGCTATCTATGCTAAACTCCCAGCCAACATCATTCTAAATGGAGAAAAATTGAAAGCATTCCCTCTAAAAACTGGAATAAGACAGGGATGCCCTCTGTCACCACTCCTATTTTAGCATAGTTTTGAAACTCTAGCCAGAGCAATTAGACAGACAAAAGAAATTAAAGGGATATTGATAGGAAAAGAAGAACTCAAATTATTGGTATTTGTGATATGATGTTATACCTAAAAGACCCAAAACATGCCACCAGAAATCACCTAGAACACAGAGATGAATTCAGCAAAGTAGCTGGATATAAAATCAACACCCATAAATCAAAGCCATTTCTGCACATCAGTGACAAATCTGCTGAAAGTGAAACTAGGAAAACCACCCCATTTGCAATAGCCTTAAAAAAATATGCTTGGGAATATTTAATAAAAGAGGTGAAAGACTCTATAATGAAAACTACAACATGCTAAAGAAAGAAAGAAGACCTTAGAAGATGGAAAGATCTCCCTTGTTCTTGGATAGGCAGAATTAATATTGTCAAATGATCATACTACCAAAAGCACTATAGATTCAGTGCAATCCCAATCAAAATCCCAATGGGTTTCCTTATAGAAATAGAAAAAGCAATCATGAACTTCATCTAGAAAAATAAGAGACCCAGCATAGCCAAAGCAATCCTTAGCAAGAAGAATGAAGCTGGTGGTATTACTATTCCTGACCTAAAACTATACTACAGAGCAAGAGTAACAAAAACAGCATAGTATTGGCACCAAAATAGACCTGTAGACCAATGGTACAGAATAGAGGACACAGAGTCTAACCCACATAACTTCAGTTATCTTATATTAGACAAAGGTGCCTGAAAGTATCTCAACCATCACCTTGATATTGAGTGCTAAGTCACTCTGGAGTGGAGGGTAGAAGAATAGCTGGCCTATCATTTGTTCAGTGGAAATCTTTGATGGGTTTGTTTTAGTTTGGAGTGAGTCATGTGGCAGGTTGGTGTGTGGAGGGGCAGTGGGTATTACCTGTTCTTAATTACTGTTATTCCAGGATCAACCTAATTAGGAATGCCTCTCTTACTTAGTGGAGCTGTATTGTGTTTCTTTTTCATGATTACATGGAAATAAGATACCAAGAAAATAAAAATGTGCTAAAAGGGGTAGAGGTCCTCTTATTCCTTCCTGTATTGGTTTGCTGGGAATGTACAACAAAGTATCAGAAACTGGGTGGCTAGAGCAACAGTCTGCAGGGTTGGTTCCCTGTGAGAATCTTTTCCATGCCTCCCCTCTGGCTACTGGTTTTGTTGGCAGATGTTGGTGTCCTGGGCATGTGACTGCGGCACCCGCCTTTCTCCCTCATCCTTAGGTGCTGGTGTGTGTGCCCAAGTGTGTATTCAAAGTTCCCCTCTCTAGAAGTCTTACTGGATTAGGAATCACTCTGATGAACTTGTAGCTTGGTTACCTCTGTAAAAGCCCTATCTAAAGAAGGCCACCTCCTGAGAGTCTGGGGATTAGGATCCCAGCATATTTTTTTCTTGGAGGACAAATTTCAACCACGAATATTCCCAGTGAACAAAGTGCTTCAACTTGGGAGGCAGCATTCTGCATTCCAGATGATCTACTGCCTCAACTTTCTTGGATTTGCGGGTCTGTTAACAGGGTATCTGACCTGAGTAAAGGAGAAGACCAGAGTGGGAGGAGAAGAGATTCTGGCACGTTGTATTTCTTTATTACTTGATGTGAATTTTTAAGCCCTTAGTGATACCCAGTAATAACTGCTTTCCCTTACTTGGGACATGAAGGGGAAGTTTCTCCCTGCTCTTTTATAACAACAATGAGAGCAAGCAAGCATGAAGTGTAAACAAAGAGCAATCTTAAGCAGGGAATTTGTGATCTTCTGGGTTATCCCTCCTCACAGTGGACAGCCGTCCTCTGGGAAGCAGCACACAATCTTTAGCATATTTTGCTCAAGAACAATAGATGTTAGCCATCGCCTGTTAATTTGTTTCCCACGAGAAAGAGAAGGCTTTACATGTTGCTCTCAGGGTGGCTCAGGCCCCTTGTGTGAGCTTTTTCCTAGGATCTTCTGTCACACCAAGGGAGGCCTCAAGGCAACCTCAAAGTGCAGATTTTCTGAGTGTCCCCTTGCCTTTAACCCTGGGGGCACGGGTTGAGCTGCATGCCACAGCCAGAGCTGTTCTCACTGTGCACGTTTGTGTGTGTCGTGCAGGCACCAGCTGGAGATGCCAGGACATTACTCTCATCTGGCTGCATTTTATGAGGACAAGAAAGGGGTGCTCCATGCTGGTCCTGGGAGAGGCAGCAACCTGCCCCCTGTCTACTGGCTGCCCTCCATCCACCGCTACATGTACCCTGAGATGAAGGTGAGGCTGCCACACTCTCACACCATCCTGGATGTGGGTCTGGAATAGTTGTTGTAGATTAATTGTTAATTAATAAGGAATTTGTGTCTTGGGCTCATGCAGAAAGTCTGCTTTTGATACAATTGGTTATAACATAGCTTTTGGGTTCACTTAAAACCTAAGGCAAGTTATCTTAATCACTATGCCTTCCGGACACTTCTCATAATGCAAAGCCAAGTGTGATAGACATGCCAGTCACGCTGGGCTCCTAGGAGGGGAAAAATGGATTGGATTCTGTTGGTTGCATCAGATACTATAATGCCAGACATGACTGAAAATGAAAAGTTTGATAAACAGGTATATTTTTTAGTTACAATATTTTTAATATTTTCTGTTTTGCCTGTAGCACTTTGCTTTCAGTTCTAGAATATATATTGTTTATAGTCAACAAAATACAAAATGTTAGGTGGTTAAAGTTTACAGAGATGACTAAGAACACGAATCTCCTTTATCTTCCTTTTGCCTCCTTTGTGGTTGATCACAAGACAGTTCAGTTGAAACTTAGAGCTCCCCTCTTACAGGAATTATACATGAGTTTAAGAGAGAAGCCATCTTGGAAGAGGAGTTGGCCCCTGAAGCATTTGTCTAAGTGGAAAGTGAGGGATGCTAACTCCAGACTGAGAGAAGGCATGAGCGACAGTGAGCCATGGTCTACCACTGTCTCAACAGGTTTTGTGAACAAAACATTATGCTGGCAATTTATCTGTACCTGTCGAAGTACTCCTTGTTTTGTTTTTTAATAGGTGCAGTATATCTTTATGATTATTTTTTAATCCCTGTTTTCCACCTAAAGCAATCAAGGCTCAAAAAAGTTCCATGATTTTCTTTAGGCCTTACAGTTAGCAGGAGATAGTGCAGGACTTATGTTTACATAGGACATGTGCTAAAGCCAGTGCTCAGTCTATCCTACTTCACTGCCTTTGCGGAGATGTGGATATGGGAAAACACAAGACAAGCTCATGGGTATGAGCAAACTTGTCTGGGATTAAATTTTTATGTCACCTGGTCATAAGAGAAAAGGCTGGAAAGATAAATTGGATTCAGATTGGGAAAACTTTAAATAGTAGGCCATGGAATTTGAACCCTAAAAAGTAACAGTTAGGGTCTTATCAGGAAAGCAGAGACCACATTAAGTATTTCAAATTAATTCAATGTAGGGAATCAGTAAACAGGAGTTGGAAGCCCAAAGGAATAGGTGGGACTGAAGCTGGTCCTCACCATGGAAGATGAGCCTGTCTTTTACATCTGGGCTTTCAATGCACAGTCAAAGCCAGGGCTGGTGTTGAGCCTCTGCCTCCTACAACATTGATTGGGCTTCATGATGTTTGGAAAAGCTCCATTTTTTCCATTTCAAAGCAGCAGGGCATGGTCCTTAAGCAGGGTTCTTGGAGAACAGCATCTTCCCTTTGCTATGTAATACCTTCTATTACTCATAGATTGCTGCATAATAAATTACTCAAGAGTAAAACTTGAAAGAGTACATATTTATTACCTTACCGTGTCTGTGAGTCAGAAATCCAGGCATGACTTGACTGGGTCTTCTCCTTCATTGTCTTTTGTGATATTGCAGTTGAGGTGTCAGCTCGTATTGGGGTGTCATTAGAAGGTTCAACAAGAAAATTAGCCACTTCTAAGCTCCTGTGGGTATTGGTAGTATTAGATTTCTTTGGGGATATTGAACTGAAGTCCTCAGTACTTGCTGGCTGTTCTTAGTTATGGGATTTCTCCGTATGGCAGCTTGCTTCATCAAAACCAGCAAGAAAGGGTTGGTTAGCAATATAGATGCCAGAATCCTTTGTAACCTAATCATAGAAGTGACAACCTGCCATGTAGCCATATTCTCTTGATTAGAAGTAAGTTACTCCAGGGGAACAGGGAATTGCATAAGGCTATAAATACCAACAGGATGGATCCACAGGTGCTGGAGCAACAAAGCGGAGGGGGTGTGYTTATGAGAACTGCGGGAGCTTGGAGGAGGGGCCTCAGCACAGCCCGTAGTTAGATCTCTGAGGGTAGCACTGTACTCCTGATTCTTCACCTCTCAGGGGCATGAGAGTGCTCAGAATTGTTGGAAGCTGGAGTCAGGTGTCTTTTTCTGCTGCAGAGAACTCCTTCCTTCCTTCCTTCCTTCCTTCCTTCCTTCCTTCCTTCCTTCCTTCCTGCCTTCCTTTCGTTATTGCCTCCCGTTTACTGGGGGTCCAGTAAATGGAGTTTTCAGACTTCTCAGTCCTATGACATGGGCTGAGAGACAGAAATGGTCTGAGGGTGATCAGGGGCATTCTGGGCTTGTCTTGATCTGAACCCTACCCCTAATTCTGTTTCTTTTGAGGGAAATTGCTGGTGGGCTAGTTCCAAAGCCATGGGGAAGTGACCAACATCTGACCTGAATGTCCCTAGATTCCTCTTCCCAAGAGGCCAAGAAGGAAGGATAAAGGGAGAAAAGGGAAAATTGCCATATGCTTTAGCCCTATTGAGGGCAGCTCATTAACATACCAGTTAAGATCCAAGGAACTGGGCTGGGGATGTGGCTCAAGCAGTAGCRCGCTCGTCTGGCATGCCTGCCGCCCAGGTTCGATCTTCAGCACCACATACAAAGATTTATGTCTGCCAAAAACTAAAAACATAAATATTAAAAAAATTCTCTCTCTCTCTCTCTTTCTCTTTTAAAAAAAAAGAGAATGACTAAGAACTAGGAACTGCAGAGAAAAGAGTACTTTCATAGATTATAGATGTCTTCTTATAAAGAAAACTAGAATGCCCATATAGTAAACAGTTATTGTGGATAATGAATTAGAGTATGAGATGATGATTGGGATGGCCTATTTGTTTGAGAGTAGCAAGGGGCAGAAAACTATAGATGATATAATCAATTTTAAAAATATTGATAGACTTAGGTATAGATAAAGATATACACATCCCTGAGCATGGAGAACTATGGATGGTTGTATACCAGGTTATTAATATATATATGACCTGGGGGTGAGGTAAAGCATGGAGGGGAGAAGAGGGTAATCCTTAGGTATATAAAAAAGAAAAGAGCCAGGAGGAGACGGCAGCCCTAAAAAAGTGCTATACAGTCAGCCTTTTGTGTCTGTGGTTCTATATCCACAGATTTGAGCACTGCAGATTGAAAATATTTTTTTGAAAACTGCATCTGTACTAAACACACATAGACTTTTTGTCATTCTATAAATAATGCAGTACAACAAATATCATATGGTATTTACATTCTCTTAGGTATTATAAGTAGCCCAGAAATTCTTTAAAGTATACGGAAAGATATATGCAGATACTATTCCATTTTATAAGGTATTGCACATCTACAGATTTTGGCATCTGTGAGGGACCATGGAGCCAGTCCTCCACAGATACAGAGGGAAAACTGATATGATTCCATTCTCCATTTATGGAAAATCACACATACATATATATATATGTGTGTGTGTGTGTGTGTGTGTGTGTGTGTGTGTGTGTGTGTAGTATATATGGTCATATATATGTATATATATATAAATATGTATATATATATGAATATAGAGATTTGTCTATAAGCATTTTACTGAAATATAACATTTATGGGAACAAGTTAAAAATTATAAGTATATAGTTTGATGAATCTTTACAATATGTACTCATGTATAAAAAAATTTTAAGTGATTTTTAAAAATAGGAATCAGGTGTAAGACTGTTGTGGAAGAAAATAAAATAAGAACCTAGAATGGAGGAAGAGGATGGAAGCCTCTGGAGAGGTCCAGTGAGTGGCTGTTCACTGTACCATAGGGCAGTGGAGGGATGAGGGCAGGATGCAGTTCCAGGAGCAAATGGATCCCCAAGTGGAGGGCATAGGACGTTGAAGATGGAACCCCAGGGTTTGCCAGCAACGGGTAGGGAGTAAGAAGAGGATGGGGTTCTGGCTTGGTAGATTGGAGGGAAAACATAAAAACTGAAATTGTAGGCATTATACAAAGAGAATTCTCTGTGAAAGCCACAGAGGAGTGAGGGTAAAAAAAGGGAAACATTTAAATTGAGCAGGAGACAAGTCTGTCTCATGCTTTTGAACAGAGTCAACGAGGGGTGTGAGGTCTCTTCAGCTGACTCTCATGAGTGAGGCGGTGGTAAGCCCTTAGAGAGATTTCTCTTACAATGCAAACCTGTATTCTTGAGTAAACAAAGAAATGAGATAAGAATTGATAAGGCTATTGGTTTGTGGACTCTCTGATGCAGGACGCACTGGTGCAAGCCTGGCCAGGCCTTCCTGAGTGGAAGCACGTTAAGGGCTTGGAGAAGCCTGAGGGAGGGAAGGTGGGGAGGATGGGCTGCGCTTCTGCTCCCTTCCTGTCTGTTGCTGTATGAAAGGTGGTGAGGAGAGTGCTGACCACACTTGGTGCCTTTCCTCCTGGTGATTTGGATGTGCTGGCAGAGGAGTAGGTAGGTCACAGATAGAGCATGCTCAGTGGAGGGCAGCCTTTCACCACAGCCTGTGGCAAGTGAATGGTCAGTGCCTTGGAAAGGGAAATGCCCATCCCAGTCATCTAGGAGCAGTCTTGGAGGGCCAAGGACAGCTCTGGTCTTGGCTGGCAGAGCACAGAAGCCTTCTCAGGGCTCAGGTATTTGGTTTGGCCCTTTCCAAGGGCTCTCGGTCCTTAAACCCCAGCCCACAGCTCTGATAGGGCTGCCTTTCTTCAGGACTGCTCTTTCCTGCATCACTAGTGGGAAATGACGGCTCCTCCGTCTGACACTTAGGCATGGAAATAACCTGCTGGAAGGCTCACCGGCACTTGGTTTGAACTTTCTGTTCTGTAAATGACCTAGGGGTCCCTGTATATGGGCCATTCCTAGTTGCTAAGTATTTAATGTTTTGCCTCAGGTGGTCCTTGTAGCCATGCGAGGTAGGTGATGGCCTCCCTGTTTTACAAAGTAGAAAAGTGAACTTGGTAAGTGAGCTATAAGAATTTAATTTAAAAAAATAAATAAATATTGGTAAATTGCAGAAAGAGCAATAGAAGGAAGGGAACAGGGTTGGGGAGAGGGAAAAGGAAGGAGAGGTAATGGGATCTGATTAGAACAAGATATATTCCATGCTTATATAATTATGTTAAAATAGATTCTACTATTGTGTATAACTAAAGAGAAAAAATTTAAAAAGATAAATTTAAAAAAAAAAGAAAAAAGAAGAGTAAGCTGCTCTGTCCAGGACTCCCTGTTAGTGAATGGGAGAGCTGGGACTGGATTCAGCCTTCCTGGGGACAGAGCTTATCCTCTTCACCTCTCCGATACTCCTGGATGCAGGCTGTCTCAATTCACATGAAAAGGAAGGGCCTTGAGGGTTCCCAGCAAGTGACCCTGGGGTTCCCCCTGCCTGTGCCCCCTGTAGACCCCTTGCTTTGCACAATAGCAGGCCGCCTGGGGCTCTAATCTGGGACTATGTGCTCATTATTTTATTATAGTACTTAATTAATATTTTGAATTGAATTTTCTCACTGAAGCATATTTTCTCTTCAGAGATACTGTTATTTTTGACTTTTAGGAAGTCAAATTTAGCTTTGTTTCCTCCATACTTTCTCCTGAGTAATTAATGATCCTTAAACGTCAACATATCAGCAGAATAGACATACTATAGAAATTCAGTTTAAAGATAAGACTTTTAAAGTGACAAATATTTTGTGCAGGAATAACCATCTGTTATTATTTGCTTGGACTTTGGAGTTTTGGAGTCAGCATTGGAAATTCTTCACGTATTTCTGACCAGCTCTTCCTTTTTCCCCTCTGCCCCTTTTTATTTTTTCAGATTACACACCCAGCTGGCTGCATGTCTCAGTTTATTAAGTTCTTTGGCGAGCAAATCCTCATCCTCTGGAAATTTGCCTTACTTCGAAAGCGCATTTTGATATTTTCTCCCCCTCCTGTGGGCGTTGTATGCTATAGAGGTAACTGAAGCCAAAGTCAGGGTTCTCCCTAAGATCCCAAAACATAGACTGCTGGAGTCTCTCTCTTGTTGATCAAATTTGAAGAGTCTGGCCCATATCAGGGGGGTTTTGAGACTGAGAGTGGCCTGACTGGATTCATATGGAACCTGGCAGCAAGGAAGAGCATGCACTGGGTGACACATAAGTGGCCTTTGGAGAGAGAAATGTGGGAAGGCAGAAAAGATGGATTCTAGATGTATATAAGATAAACTTGATAAAACTTTCCTGATTAGGTTGTAAAGGTCCTGGTGTATGGGAGGGCATAACAGGAAGAGTCTGTGATGACAGGGAGGTGGAGCCACCAGAACCCAGAAAGCATGGCGGGAGGTTAGTTGGGCAGGATTAACCTGGACACGATGAAGGTGTTCTGCCTGTGAGTCTTTCCTGGGGAGATGTATGCCAGGCACTTGAGTAGTGGGTTCAGAACCTCTGGGGGAAAGYTGGGCTGGAGATGGTGATTTGAGAGTGTTGTAAGGGCTGTCCTGATAACCAGGGGATGGGGCGTCACTGGGGAGAGTGTGTGAACAGCAGCATGCCAGGCACAGGAGGCGGATTGACAATTGTGGAAGATGTTCCAGGGGAGATGGAAGTGTCAGAAGAAGGGTGGGGGGACTGGGAATGAAAGGGTTACAGTAGGTCAAAGTCTTGAGAAGGGGGAAGGTCAACAGCGACAGAAAGAGTGCAAAGTGTGTGTGTTGGATTTGGTAAGACATTGCTCGTGTGACCTTGAAGAAGTCAGGTTCTACTGTGGGAGACTTGCCCTCAGTCTCCTCAGAATGCCAGGACCACCTGGTTACTGATGAACCAGGCTAGCAGAGAACAAAGCCCTTCATAGTTCCTGTGTTACTCCACTTCCTGTTGCTAAAGCAGAATGCCTGGGGCTGGTTAATTCATACAGAAAGAGGTTCATTTTGGTTCATGGTTCCGGAAGGCCAAGAATATGGTGCTGGCATCTGCCTAGTTTCTGGTGAGGGTCTCTTGGTAGACAGTGGAAGTGGGTATACATGGAAGAGAAGCACAGGAGAGAGAAGTTCCAGGCTCACTTTATGACCAAATGCTCTGGAGATAACTAACCCATTGCCTTGGGAACTACATTAATGCCTTCATGGAGGTGAAGCTCCCATGAGAGGTTTCCCTCTTAGAGGCCCCGCCACCTCGTGGTACTGATACCTTGCAACCAAGCCCCCACATGCRTTTGGCTGGGACAGACCACCTCTAATCCATAACAGCTTCCTCTTGGGCTACAGTTCAGAGAAGGTGTTGTCCAGCAGGCTTCGGTGGAAGAGGGACGTGGGGGGCGAACTCTTCTCACCTCCTCCATCCTCCAGTGTACTGCTGCTGTTGCCTGGCCAACGTCTCTCTGCCTGGCATCGGGGGCACCATTCCTGAGTCCAAGCCCTTCTTCTATGTGAACGTGGCTGACATCGAGAGCCTGGAGGTAGAGGTGTCCTATGTGGCCTGTGAGTATGGGGACCTCCCCTCATGCTTCCCCTGTGTCCCAGTCCCTCTCTTCCTCCTTGTCTCCTTGCTTCTCCAGTGGGGTAGGGCTGGTGACCCTGCAGGGTTCCCACCTGCTTAGCCTGGGGTTCCGCAGGCACCACAGAGAAGATATTTGAAGAGAAGCGAGAGCTGTATGATGTTTATGTGGACAACCAAAATGTGAAGACACACCATGGCCACCTGCAGCCCCTGCTGAAGATCAACAGTGCCGACAGGGAAAAGTACCGGCGGCTTAATGAGCAGAGGTAGGGGTGGAGGCGGGCTGTGCCTGTGGATGCAGCTGGGCCAGCGCCACACTTGAGAAGGAGGGTTGGGTGGCTTGCGGGTTCTGCCCTTCTCAGTGTCTCCCTGGGGTCTCTGTGAATCTCACACCTTCCCTCCTGGTGCATTCCTGCCAGGGAGATAGAAATGAAGGGGATCCCTGCATGTCGCCCTTATAGGAAAGGGGCAGATACATGATTTCTCTCTGATTGGCTTTGGAAACTCTGAAGCCTAGGGACAATTATACTAGCTTCCAAAATCTCCCCAAATGACCTGTTTATGTTTGGAACCACCATTTATTGAGCATCTATACTGTATGGATCACTGTATTTGAAACTTGCTTATGCATTATCTCGTGTAGTTCTCAGTAATTTGGTTACCTGTGAGTTAAATGGGATCATTGTCATCCCCATTTGATGGACAGAGGAAGGATTACCACTTACTTGAGGTTTCCAGGGGCAGAACTGGCTATAGACCCTGGAGTTTTGAGACCATGTCCTGTGCATCCTTTCCTGTCCCTCCTCTCCTTGCCCCAGGATGGAGGCCTGCTTTGATCAGTGCTGCTTCCAGGAGGGTGTGGCCCACTGCAGATGCTTGGCCACTGGTGGGTGGCTGGGCACCCGTTTGATGGTGGTCTCTTCCCAACAGGCAGATGCTATTGTATTCCCAGGAAGTGGAAGAAGACTACAACCCTTGTGAGGAGGACCTCTTTGTGCTGTGAGTCTGCCCGGGCCAGTGGCTGTGGTCTCCCTGAGAATCCCTTCAGCATTGACTGCTTTGGATGACCTGGGTCCCTTTCATGTCACCCACGGCAGTCCAGCAATGTCCTTTATTGCTGCCAAGGGCTATTAGAACTGGACTCTTTACAGAGGCAACCTGAGCCCTAAAAGGCCATATAGGGAAAGAGGCAGGAACAGGTCATTGAGAGGAACAGGAGGTCTGGGATGTGCCTCTGCTGGGCTTTTGCATTCAGACATCTCCACTTAGAACCTTGGTGCTCCTCAGGGCTCAGGGACTTCTCATCTGTGGTTTCCTCTGAATAGAGCAGTTCCTCATGCTGAGTGTTATGGGTTTTCTGAAAATTGAACCATGGAATTGAATGGAATCTTCCCCAAGATCTGATGGGGTGGCCTCCTGGCCTGTACACCTGGAGCACTGATTGCAGGGATAAGCAATTTTAAGAGAAAATTGAGAAATAATCTCTCAGCTTCCTGTTTGGTCTTCCTGTGCCATGTGCAGGGATAAGGGTGAGGAACAACACTGGACAGTTACCAGCTTTGATGGAAACTCCCTGTGGACATTCCTACAGTGGCTCCTGATGCTCATGGCGTACTTTCTAAGGCATGCACACTGTAGATGTGCAGGTATCCAGGAATCAAATGGGGCCACTGTCTCTCAAGGTTTGACACAGGCCATGCATGGCATTTAAAATTCTGAGCACCAGAGCTGCTTTGGACATTAGAAACCTCTGTTGACTCTGGGAGCTCTAAGCTGGACTGCTGTACCACAGGTCAGAGAGACAAGTAATGGGTCTCTGAACATCACTCATTTATTTATGTGGTACCATAAAGCCATGACTCTTAACTCTTTTTCTAGGCATAATCCCTCTCCCCCAAAAAAGAATAATCAAAGGAGAACACACCCAGGGACTGTTTGTGCCAGTCTCAGTGGCTATGACTCACCTTCCCTTTCTCCCTTAACCTCCCCACTTCCAGTGCTGCTGGCTTCAGAATAGCCCCGTGCCTACCCCCACTTCAGTGCCCACATTCTTAGTGGCCATTGTCAGCCATGGTGGGCTGTCCACAGAGGCCCAGGGCCTTCTGTTCTCCAGTGAGGATTCTTGGCTGCCATCTAGCATGGCCTCTCCAGAGCTCTGAAAGGTGAATTTTAGCTTCTTACTTGAAATCTTGACCTCAGAACTATGTTATCAGGCCTTGTGTTTTCAACTTTTTCTTCCTCTTATGACTAAGCAGGAGAGGAAAGCAGGAAATAGGGGCCCCTCCCTAGGGGCCTATATTTAAATCGCTAGTGACTTCCGTCTTAACAGGAAAATGGTGTTGGCAGCAAGGTCAGCACCACTCAGAGATCTGCCAATCATCCTGTGACTCACACCACCTGGCTCTTGCTAACCTTAGTGGTACTTTAATAACTGTATAATGAAACTGTGACCCTGTTTTCTTCTTTTAAAATGTATTTTAGTTTATTTTTGAAAGCCTTCAAAAGTCAATTCAACAAAACAGTATAGTTTAGATTCCTGTGTGTGGATTATCTGGTGAGCATTTTCGTCTCTCCTTTCCTCCCTTTCCTGTCTTGTGAATGCAGGTTTTTCCTAGAGCAAAACAACCGGATATTTCAGACTTTGTTGGAGGTGTCTGCCAGTCAGGACAAAACTCTGACAGCAGAGCATGCCAGGGGCATGGGCCTGGATCCCCAAGGAGACCGCAGCTTCCTAATGGACCTGCTGGAGGCCTACGGCATTGATGTCATGCTGGTCATTGACAACCCCTGTTGCCCATAGGATGAGTGACATGGGAGGACTGGTGAGCCACTCACAATGGTGAACATAGCCTGGAGTGTACCCCAGGCCCCCAACGGCCTGTTTTTAATTATGGTGACACAAAGGAAGATTGTTTATACTTTCCAACAAATGTAACTTTTGCAAATTCCTTTCTTCCCTTTTCCCTAGAGGTAACGTGAGATGGCCTTGATTTGTGCTTCCTGCTTTGGTAGGACACTGAATTCTACCACCATCTCCTGGAGCTGCTGCTTTGGGTTTAGTCTTTGGAGTTCTGTCACTATGAGCAGGCTGAGCTCTGAAAACAGTGGGGTGGACTGCTCAGAAAGTCTGTGTGTCCTTGTCCCTTGATGCATTCAAGAAGACAACCATCTGTCCAGTGTGGCCTTAGATGTTCATCTGCCTGAGAGCAGAAACTAACCAGATGACCTTTCAAGATCATCAGGTTCTATGAGTCAGTGGTCTTGGGATCAAAAACCTTTTCCTTAGGGCAAGTCTGTGTCTTCCTTGTTCACTTGAATAGGGACCACAGAAAGGGACAAAGGGATGTTTTTGACACCAGATAGCTTCTTTAAGGACCGAATGACAGGAAGAGGTTTCTTATTGGTCAACTGAAAGCTACACTCATAGACTGAAGCCTTGAAACTCTTCCTAAACTAAGTGAATGATGGGCACTTAATGTAATGTGCTCATTCTTTCTCTGAATCCCTCCTCTTAGGTTGGGTTGGCAAATTCCAGGCCAGTGGTGGCCCTGGAGCTCCCAAGAAGATTTATTTTACAATTTAGTCTCTTAAGGGCTAAATATTTTCTTGGAATAACTTGGGTGTTTTTAGAGGGTAGAGGGGCAGATGTTCAAACAGGCTAGAGAACAAGCTCTAAGTTTCTTCATCTGGATGACGGTTCCCTGGAGGCATTACCAGCAACCCCCTGCATCAGACAGATGCATTGGATTCCTAAATCTAGCCAGGACTGAGCTGATTGACAGAGGTTGGAGCCTGATGTTGTTAATAAGACTGTTCGCCAGTCTGGAGTGCTCACAAACATCTTTTTAGCAGGCTTAGTGATTGGGTCCTGAGACCTAAAAGATTTGTTGAAGAAAATCTGACAGTGCCTTCCCCTCAGGGAGTGGTCAGGAGCCCTCAGGTGTCAGTCCTAATCTTATCTGCTTTCTTGAATGGTCTGGGATGGGTCCTGTAGTCACCTGCCTCTTCTCTTGGGATGGGTTACTTGATGGCTGCCAGCTTGGGTGAAAGGACACTTGTTAACCATAATCAGAAAGCCAGATCCTGTGAGTAAAGTTTAGGTCTTCTGGGGCCATAGTTAAGGCTTTTGACCTGAGATCCTGGATTTTTGGTAACCTAACTTCTTCCCCTTCACCCTTCTGTTATTGGGATAGCCATCAATGCATCATACAGGCTGGTGTAGACAGCAGAGAAAGAACCTTCAAATGGATGGGTTATGTGTCTTATCAACTCAAGGTTCTTAGGGCTATTGCTTAATTTAAAAGTATTTTTCACTGTAGTTCCTTGATACAGAATTCAAAAGTAAATAAATTCACAAGTGGAAATACAAATACAGTGACTAATCACAGTAGTATCTTATGTAAATATATAAATAAGATTGGGCATTGAGAAGTAATATGTACAACTAACACATTTTCTCCTTTGCATTGTGGATTCAGTCATCATTCCAGTAACATGTTTACAAAAGAAAACACACCTGTGCCCAGAGGCTGATGCTTCACCTGCTTCCCCTTTATAAGCAACTCCCTCCACTTGCCTTGCAAAGCTCATGGGGTCTTTCTCACTTGTGTCAAGAAGTGGATACTTCTAGTGGTACCCTAGGGTTCAGGGTTTTCTAAGTTGAAGGTGGGTGGCTAGAGATAGGCATAGGGGGATTCTTCTGGAAGACACAGGCAGACCCTATCTCTGGAATTGGGGGATTTGCTAGAAGGACCCTGTCTAAATACTTTGGCTCCAGAGCCTTCTGTATGTGAACGCTTATGTGTCCTGTGCTGTTTTAACTCCAGGCTCAGAAGTGCTGCTGTAAAGACAGCAAGGTGAGAAGGAAGTTCTGTATTTTCCTTTGAATAGAGCCAGGGCTGTGGCAGCTGTCTGTCTGGTCTCTGACTTGCTTGGGCTCATGAGGAAGGTGAGGGTGTGAGTGTGGGAGGCCCAGAGGGGAATGCACCGAGGCAGTGCTGTCCTAAGTCATACGGGCCTGGACTAGCTGACCCCAGAGCAGAACTTCTTGAACTCCCTCAGTCCTCCTCTGTCTTGCCGGCTTCCTCCTGACGCAGCCTCTGCTTGACTGAACAGCGTGAGCCCTTCACTCACTCCTTGCTGTGTATCACCCCAGCTATGACCTGGGCTACGTGGAACCTCTTGCTTCCGAGGTCACCTTTTGAAGTTTTGCTTAGTACCAGACTCTGCTGCTCCCACATGGGAAGTTAGCAGGCACAACCGTATCATTTGCTACAAGTTTCCTCTGGGGGGAACTTGTTTTTGAAGTACTAGGCAGGAATCTCTCTACAGTGACAGCAGAAGCTAGGAGCCATGTGAACCTGCTTTTCTGTCACTCTTTAAATATATTCTTAAAATAAAAAATCTGCTTTTGTTTGAAAGAAGTTGGCCACATCTTTCCCTGCTTAGGTCTAAGCTTAGTAGAGGCAGTGTTATCACCTCCACTGACCTCAGGAGCAAGGCTGTATGGATCCTTGAGCCCTCTGCTGGTGGCCCTCACCTGTCCCTGCATAAGATACCAGACCCTGCTGGGGAGCTCTGAGCCTGATCTTGTGCCCCCTATGGACCACCTGCTGATTTGTGATCCTAGGGCTGCCCAATCATCCCTAAGTGGAAAGAGTCCTGTGGGGACTGGAATCAGGATTGGGATTTGTTTATATCCATGTTAAGTAGGACAAAGGCCTGTTAAAGTGAATGTTTTCAATTTTGTAGGCTCAGTAGATAATAAAAAGAGTCAGATCCTGCAGGACTTATATCCTACCAAACTAAAAAGTATGCACCAAATCATTGATTAGCATTTGCTTTGGCTTTAAATATGAAACTGTACCTAGGCCTGGCCTGAATCCATTCCAATGTCAGCATCCCACCTGGGACCTGTACAGTTCTGAGAACAGTGAACTAGAAGGCATCTGCCTCCCACACCCTCCATCCATTCTGGTATCTCTTCTCCTATCTGGCTAAGGAAGAGAGGCCAAGCTCATTAGCATATTGATAGAAGTAATTTACATAGGAACTTACATCTTTAGCTTACCTTTTTATAAACCATGTGAAGATCATGATGGGAAAAATAAAAGTAGCACACAGATGCAGATGTTGCCTGATGTCACATGTGAAGATCCACGTATTCTGTAACTACCTGTGATATTTTAGCTAGAAGATAAAGATAAATCGTAGCTAAGTCATTGTTTTTATTCTGGTGGCTAGAGAATGAACTTGATGTCTTGATATACTGAAAGCCCTTCAAGTACAATAAAAATGTGAAATTATTCACCTTTCCATTGAGGCCTTCAGGGAACATTTCATAAAGGGTGGTAAAGAATTAACCTTCATTGGCAGAACATCAAACTTGGAGAAAAGGCAGGGACCTCAGGGACTGTTTTTCTCCTTTGAAAATGCATTACCCAGGGAACTGATTACACTCCAAGTCTAGTGTAGACCATTCCTGGAGAGGCAGACTAATGAGCGGATGGTGTGTAAGACAATGCTCAGCTTGACAGCGAACATGAAAGACCAGCATCTCTGCATGGGCTTCTCTTTCCCTGTTAGGTTCCAGGCTAGTAAGCTTGGAACCTGAGAGATACCTACCACCCTCCCCCCCCACCCCTGCCATAACTTGCAGCTATGTCTGTGGTGAACATACTGCAGACCTGCAAGCCTACCTTGGCAGGGCAGGCCCCACCCTTCTCATTTCAGGAAAATCCTTCTCTGATTCAGGTGGGGGAGGGGAGGAGTTAAGGGCTCCTTTTACTCCCAAATTATTAGTTTTTACTATTTCATTTTTTATTACTAATATACCTCTGTTCCCAGGAGCTATTGGAGCACTAAATGTTGTGGGAAAAGGCTAACTGTGAATTAAGTTTATGTTTTTCTTATAAGAAATGGAAGTTTATTTTTATATTGATGTTACTATGTGATAAACCGAGTATGAAGATGTTRAAATGGAAAGAGATTTCAAAATTATAATCCTAGAAATGGGCAGCTTTCTAATTCCGTAGTGGTGAGACCCTTAGAAACGTTGTTTCAGAGAGTGAAAAGGACATTGTGCGGTGTGATCTGAACAGCACTCCAGGAGATAAACTTGACAGTCCCAGGAAGGATGACACACACCAAGCTTCAGCAGGACTCTAGGACAGAAGAGGGTAAATGTGATCCTTCTGATTAGGCTCTCAGTCACCTGGAGAGAGGTGGGAACGGGAGGAGGTTTTAAAACTAGCACTTTACTTATTTTGGAGGGCTGGAATTTAGGGGTAGATGAGGTAAAATTGCAAATTTAGAAAGGGATTAGGAATTTTCTAGTGCTGTATAGACATCCAATGATGGTGAAGTGAAGCCCTGCTTTCATCTTTTTAGAATTTATTGTAGAACTTCAGTATACCCTAAGTTCAGAGAGTTTATTTAGTACCATAGTAGGAAGGTGTTAATTATGTTTGTTATAGAATGCCTTTTAGACTAATGATGAATATATACTTTGCTTTCTAAGAACGGTTGAAGGATATGGGTAAGGTGGAATATTATAAATTGGTCAGAGATGATCCACAAAATGAAAAATTCACACAGAGGTAACAGCTGGTTACAAGTATATTTGACTGACATTAGAGTGAAACTCCTTTGGGTAAATTAAGCAAAGCTGAAGTATATAAAAGATCTGAAGATGGCATTAGGAAAAGTTTGGGCCTAGCATATGCACAACTGCCATCAGTGGGGAATGGCGAGGACTCTGCTTCTGATGAGTCTGGATGGGTGACCCGTGTGGGGTGGGCGGGGAGAGGCAAACAAAATGAACTTCCTATATTTACCCAACGCTTGTTGGCTAAATTTCTATATAACCTTTCCTGGAAAAGAAACAGTCATGGCCCTGGAAAACCTGTTTTTTCTGAGTTAGGATCAGCTTACCTCCCTTTCCCTATTGTGAGCAACACCCCAGCCTGAGTTATAGCAATAAGAGAAATGGAATCTGTGTTTAAGTCTTCACCTTGTGATGAAATCAGATAGTTCCCAGGTGTTGCCCTCCTCTCTCTGTTTTCAATGGTAGTAATTTAAAGGCCTAAAGGAAGCTGATTAGTCCCAAGGCTAAGGGTAAATGTTTCTTGATTTTGTTCTGTGGTACAAATAACATCTATGTATATCATATCTGTATATATCTGAACTAAATTGTGTGCAGAGAGGTTGTTACAACTATATTTACAGAAAATGATTTTTACAATTAAAGTTCACATTTTAACATGAACATGTGTGCTTCTGTCCTTCACCTACTCTGAGATGTAGTCTGTGGTAGGAAGGAATGATGGCCCAGTCCTGGAGTGGAGCCTATGGGGCTGGTTGCTGCCTTGCTTACAGTGAAGACAAAGGCAACTAAGAGCTGCTGCCTGCTCTCCATCTCAGTAGGGGAAACCACAGGTGAGACTAAAATGCCATCCAGAAGAGCCAGGACTGTGCACCCTCAATCACAGGAAACTTCTAGAAGAAAACCTTTAGTTTCATGAAATCTCTTATCAGAGTTTAGTTTGAAACAATATGTATAGGTGTGTATGTATATTAAACTTTATTCCATTTTTAACTTTTTGGGGGAGATATTTTAAACCAGTATAGAGTGAACTGCTGACAGTGATGGTTCCAGAGTCAAACGGCTGGTGTTCAAAGCCAGGTTGCCGCCTTCTGAGTGAGGTGACCAACTAATACCCACATCGTAGATGATAGTGAGAACCAGTACATCAGATGCACCCCTGAAGCACTGGCACTTACTAGTGTAACTGTCAGCAAAGGAAAACTCTTGGTTATATTTTGTAGAAAGCATCAACTATATTTTTAATAGGAATAATCTTAGCTTCTGAGCAAAATTAATCTGTTTGCACTAAACAGAAAGGGACTCAGGTTCTCCTTTGTTTGCACAGCTGAGCATTCCAACTTTGGCTGACAAGCATGGCTGCAGAATAGCTACATGGTGAAATGTCTTTTTACATGGGCACTCTTGAGAAGGACAGCTCAAAGAGACAATAAGGAAACCAAGGCCTCGTGGGAAGTAGTGTGAAGAAAACAAAATTTGGGCTGGGTTTGTGGCTCAGTGGTGGAGCACTTGCATGTATGAGGCACTGGGTTTGATTCTCAACACCACATATAAATAAATAAATAAATGTCCATTGATAATTAACAAAAATAAAAAAAAAATAAAATTTGAAACGAGGCATATTTATAAGTCAGTAAAATTCTTAATGTGGTTAAATATCCTTCCCCAACTGTGATACACACTCACAGGTAGGGTTCCAAGAGAAAAGAAAGCCAGCTTCTGTCCTGGTCCTGCATGATGTTAGAGAATCACACAATATGCTAATTTTATTTTCTTATACCTTGTCATCCTCCTTCCCCTTCTCGGGTRGCCTTATGCTGATGTTTGGACCCATCTGTTATTTTTCTGCTAAAGAACAGCTTTTAACATTATCTTGAAGCACACAGTGCTGAATAGGTAAGCCCCATTTTCTGTGTCTTGACGCCCTGGGCTTTTTATCACTGCTGTGTAGCCCAGTAGAGCACAGGCCTTCACTCTGCATGGCAAGCAGGATGCGTGCTGTCCTTACACTTGAACTTCCTGAGGAGCAGCCTGTAGTAAGGTCTGCTAGCTCTTTTTCCTCACTTACCCCTCTTCTTATAATGAGAAAGGCATGCATCTCCCCATTCTTACCATGGTGCATTTCCCTCTAGAAGCACAGAACAAAAGAAAAGATGCTAATTGGGTGGTTTTCAGTCTCTGCTTGAAACACACTAAAAGAAGATCTTATCAAGTTGTTAGTTGAGAGCACTGTTTTTTGCCATGTATCTCCAAAGAAATCCAAAGAACTATATGACATTGTTATAATTCTATTTCCATCTATTTATTCAAGTGTTCATAAGTGTAAAACAATGAAACAAGGAATATATTGATGTTGAAATGCCCCCATCTTAGCTAAAAATACCACTTATATATTAGATAAATGAACTAATTAGGATAAAGAACATTCTAATATTTTTAATTATTAGTTTTAATCAGTTATACCAATAATTATGGTAACATTTATTCTGTAAACATGTAAGAACTAAAAAAACTTATTTCCATTTTAATTTTTTGTTGATGAGAAGCATTTGATAAAAAATGTCAAGCATAAAAATAGATTACATTATGATAAGCTTCTTTTTACTGACAGTGGTATGGAAATACACCCACAGGGAGAAAAAATAATTTAAAATTTTAAACTACTAAATAACTAGTTCATTTATTTTTACAAATGAATGAGAGGTGTCAAATTGCACTGGATATGTTTAAAAGAGTGATGTAACAGTTATTTTAAAACATCAATATTTACATGACATTAGAAAGTACATACTTTGGCAACTATTTAACTTCCCACAAAAATTTTAGATGTCACATAGATGTATGATGGGATACATGATTTTTCAAATACTTTTGGGGAAAACAGGAGCAGAATAGTTGGTGGAACATTACTTTAAAACACTTTCTCCAAGTAAGGTTAAAGGATCAACTTACAGATTTAGCTGAAGTAAGCCTTCCTAATGCAGACTCCTGCCCATCCCTGGCTGAGTTGTTAAGTTTGGGGTGGGCCCCAAGTCAGTTTTCAGCATGCACCCCAAGTGGTTCTCATGCAAACCAACCAACATTGAAGAAGCACTTCTTTAAAAAAAGAAGAAAAAAATTGCATTTTACAATAGTTTAGCCATGGTTGAAGAAGGAAACTACCTCACATTTGCTTTTGAATTGAGGACAGAACTGAAACTAGCTAAATAAGAACCAGAGCTCACAAAGTAGCATCACCCATGGAGGAGCCAGACATAGGAAAGGGCACCTGGGGAAGGCACTGCTTCCCCTGGACAATCAAAGAACAGGGATGGAGGATCTTAGACAAACTTAAGCATCCTGCTCTCCTGCTGGTTGCAGTGGTGCACACCTATAATCTCAGCAGCTCCAGAGGCTGAGGCATGAGGACCACAAATTCAAAGCCAGTCTCATTTAGTGAGACACCCTGTCTCAAAAAATAAAACAGGCTGGGGATGTGACTCAGTGGTTAAGCACTCCTTGGTTCAATCCCTGGTACCAAAAGAAAAAAAAAAATTAGATCCTGTTCTCCATACATGGGTGCACTTCAAGGAGATAACAAAGCTCTAGCCCTTTCCAACCACTGAGAGTGAGAATGTCCTTGACAAGCTTGAGGGAAATCACTATCTAGGAGGGACTGACTATCACACCAAAATGAAAGCATGCGCTAATGGAGTACCAATTGCAGAGCAGGTGGCAGGGTGCACTATGGGAAGCACTTCTGGGGAGGACGGGGTACTTGCTGTGAAAATGCCCTTGGGATTCTCTGACAACACTATGGGGACAGCTGAGGCATCTGTTCCCTTTTGGTCCCACAGGTGGCCCAAAGTGTGGTCTCGGAGAGGCCCTCGTCACTGTCCACTCACTAGGCTGTGCTCTGCAGCATCTGTTCTTTCTTCTTGGGATCACAGAAGAACTGCAGTTTCCTGGGGAGCAGTTTCACCTCAACAGGCATCGCTTCATACTCTTCACTGTCAATGCTGAAAGAGCCCTCTGTTCCCTGTGGGGACGAGAATGTTCAGGGTGGTTCTCATGCGCATCAGTGCCCTACGGCAGCTCACCACAGAAAACATGGTCTTCTCTGTGGGCTTATGCTATTGTTCTTTCAATATTTCGGTGCCCACTAATGACATACAGTGATATTCCTGAACACATCCCAATTCTACTATTCATGAAAAAGGAATTTTTTTTAACTTCAATCTCTTCCCTTCCACAGTATTTTGGAACTAGAACAACAAGGTTAAATTTTCAAATATTTATTAAAATAAATATGCCACATCTTTAAAGAATTCACAAATAACAATATAATCTTTCTCAAATGGAAATGGAGAAAGACAAACCATTTTGTCAACTGGATCATTTTCATTATTTTTCTCTAAGACTTGCTAAGTTTTATCAATATTTGAGTCTATGAGGCTCTTCCACGATTCATGCGTTTAACATCTGCTATGTTGAAGCTGTGGTGCCTGTCACATGGTGACATTCCTGTTTACCTACATTCCTGTTTAAATGTAGTAGCATTGCAGACAGTCTTCAGAGGCAGCCTGTAGTGTCTTTTTTTCCTGGAGTGCCCCAGTTAAATAACTAGCCTTACAATTCAGATACCTCCACTTGCACTTATATTATATAGGTTATTCTTCTAAGCATGGAATTTCAATACAGAAAAATTCAGTGAACTGAAAGCTGCTTCCAGATCCTTTATAAAAACATGTTAAAATGAAACCATTATTTATCAGCTAGAGAATTCTTTGTATTACATCATTATTGACACATGAAAAAATAAATACTCAAGAGAACTAAAGATCAATTTATAGAAGAACCTTGACTTGAAAACTGAATCTTCAGAAGGAGACCAACTCCAATCTGTAACTCAGAAGGGAATTTTGCCTCCTTTTCAGGTCTCCCTTGTTATGACCTGACCCTGGCAAAATGCTCAGCACATTAGACACTAAAGGTTGGACAACTAATAGGGAAGAAGAAGGGGAAAAGAAAGGAAGACAGACCAAAAAGATCCTATAGGACCCCAGACCCCATGCCCCTGCCCTCCTCACCTCAGGAAGAAGCAGGGTGCACCTGCTGGCTTGGAGACACTCGGTGCCATCCGCACGCAGTTTGGGGTCTCTTACCTTTTTACTTCTGTTCAGACAGAAAAAGAAACTTAGAAACCCGTGATGGCAACTGCATTAGACTGCAAGTATACAGCAAGTTCTTTCTCTTTTAGATGGTAAAAGTAGTCAGAGGGTCTATGAAGTGGTGGGTTCTGTGAATAAATTTTCTCCCAGTGATTTCTTGCCCTGCACTGAGATGTCTTCAGCTTGAGAAGGCTTATTTGCTGTTCAGAGCTGTGCATGAAGTTAACACTGTCTTTCCCTGATTACTCTTTATTTAAATTGTTCCATATGTTACCTAACTCTTTGATAGTTATCAAATTTAAAAATTAAAATGAATTAAATTATTTGGGAAACATACTAAACTTCTATTTGGTTTCTGTGATTATTACTTAAGAATAAAAATATTTTCTCCTTTAAGTTAGATATTTATATTTAAAAACTAGTCTTAGACATTATCTAATGATTCTCTACACTCATTGACAATCTACCTAGCATGTTATATCTTTACTAAATGGACTTGGAGTAAAAATACCCAATACACACATACTCAACCTCAGGCACAAATACCCTTTATGGCTAATCATGGTTAAGAAGAAAAAGAGGAAACGCTAACCCGAGTACAGTTGTCCACTATTTAATCATTTCTTGCATTACTTGGAGATAGTACTTTTTAGTAAAAGGAACTCAGAGTTCTGAAAGCAACTTCATCACATTCTATTTAGATATCCAAAGGACACATACATTATGAGTTCACTTCCTATAAGGACCAAAGGGAAACTCGAGCTGAACATGACTTCACTTAGCTCAATCAACATAATGAGGTTCTCCTCCTGTTTTGGGATGTCAGTGTTCTTAAGGAAATGTGAATATCGCTGGTCACACTGGCCAGACTCTCAGTTAAGATGGTGTGTGGTTTTTAGACACTGGGAGAAGAAGGGACAGGCTTTTCCTTTATTCCCTTAACTCCAGATACAGCAAATGAATCAAAGGCTGCAGAAGGAGCTATTCAGTATGTGAAGAATTTGTACCAAAGGCAAGAACATTACAAACAAATGAAAACCATTCTGCTGTCAGTGCTGGTGTAGATAATAAGGCAGCCATGGAGACCCGGGCGCTGCAGCAGAAATGTTCAATCCCTAAATGGGCACGAGAGGGAGCGCTGAGACAAAGCTCAGAAGGATGGAGCCAGCAGATTACCAGTTGGCATGGGAACAAGCCAGCTCCTCAGATGCTTTGACTGTTGGAGGGTTTATAGTATTCTTAGCCAATAAAATTCTGGCAGAGGTAGGACTTAACAAATCAAGCAGGAGTTGGAAGGGTATGTTATATTGGGAAAGAGAAAAAGGCCTGGGAAGTGTCCAAGGTACTCAATACCTTTTCAAATTTTTCATTAATGCCCTGGGAATAGGAAGACAAGGTGAATAGACATGAATAGTAAGGGCTACTGTGAAGTGCTGAACAATTCATAAACTTTCTCATTTGATACTAAAAAATGTCCCAAGATCAGTAGAGATGGTTATGTTGTTCCATTTTCTAGATGAGGAAAAAGATTCAGAAACGTTAAATGACAATCACAAGAGCAGTGAGTAGCAGAATCAAGATTTATATTCAGTTCTTTGACTAAAACTAGAGTTCTTGACAATATGTGTGCTACACTGAATTCTTTAAGGCAAAAGACTATTCTTACAGTTTGATCTTTCCAAAAGGCACAGGACTGAAGCAGAGACACTGTATATATTATCAACCCCACAGAGAAGGAAGAATGACCAAGTTACCAAGCAAGACAGGCCTTTATTGGATCTACTACTCAGTGAAGTAGATTCAAACTACTTAAAGAAGCCCCACGTCCTGCAAACCCCAGTCCACTTACCCTATAGTTATGAAGTCTCCTTTGCTGACAGTGTCAGGTTCGATGCAGATGTTCATAAAGTCTTCTTTGCTCTAAAAAGATTAAGAATACTAATGTCAGTACTCCTAAATTTCTGGCTAATGCAGCCTGTTATCATTCTCAGCCCTGGAGGTTCATATTTTCAAGCTGTGCAACATATAGGGGATTTTACTTCTAATGATTTAATTCTAAGTATATTTTCTGTCCTTTTCATTAAGAGCTTTGTTGCAAATTAATATAAAAGTCATCTCCATTGGCTTTTTGTTTGCTTGTATTTTTTTTTAACTAAATTAGCAAAATAAAAATTTAAGATGGGAGGTTTTTGAAGTTGTGTTACTCACTAATAGTCAAAGGCATTAAAATCTCTAGGAGTCCTTCCTTCCCCTGCAAGCCAACCTTTCTGCCATCCATCCCAGCGATTCTCAGGCCTCACTGTACATCAGCATTCTACCATACCACAATATAACTGCTTGGCAAAAAGGGCCTAGGTGCCTGTGTTCTTTAAAAAGCTGTACATGCAAATCTGGTATGTAACTAGAGTTGGAAAACAGCAATCCATTTGTTCCCTGATAATGTTCTAAAAACCTTCCATTTCCAACTACAGAAAGCTCTGGAAGATTTGAGCTACAAATTATTATTGCAGCACTAGTAATAATTCACTGTATTTGGTTCCTGACTGCTGCCTACAATTTGCTCCCAGTCAAAAGCCAGCAATACAAACTATCCCTCCTTCAATCAATCCCAACACCTCTGTGCTGACATCTGTTTGGGTAGGTTCAGAATGTGCAGGACCAGGATAACTCAGGGCTTGGAGGGCCTGAGCCTTTGCCTAAGGTTCAAGAGTACCACCAAAGCACACCTACATCTCAACTAGGAATGACAGAACAGAGTATGTTGACATAAGTGTGATGACCTTGCTTGGAGTTTCCCTGTCATCATACTGCTGAGTGCCACCATGTACCATAAACTTCAGTGACTGGGTTACATTGAGAACAAAACAAACATGCATTTCTGCCTACAAAGAACTTATATTTGATTGTTGGGGTAGAGGGGACAGAAAATTCATCAAATAGTAAATTACTGAGTATAAGTGCATCTAGAAGCATATCAGAATATTTTAAAATGAGGTTAAAGAAACAGCAAGGACCACGAGTTGGCATTAATGGCAGTGACTATGTTTCAAAGAGGAGTCCAGGTGAGAAGGTAATCTCTAAACAGAACCCACAAGAGGTGATGGAAGTAGCAATGTCCAGGACAGCAGTTCTCACTGACGCATATTATAGTTTTTGTCAATTACGGTTAATTTTTATGAAGACTCTTGGCCCCATCTTAAGAGTTTCTATCTAGTTCAGTAAAAATGGAGTGAAGCACAAGAATTTACATATCTAACAAGTTGTTGATCTGAGGACCATGCTTGGAGAACCACTGGTCCCAGTGGATGAGCCATCACTCTAAGGAAACTGCCCAGGTTGAGGCCTTGAGATGGGAGCATGCCTGACCTGTGCAAAGAAGAGCAAGCAAGCCAGTGTCACTGGAGCAGAGGGGCAAGGACAACAGAAGGAGATGGAAAGGGAGGGGGGGACTTGATCAGTAGGGCATTGCAGACTACCATAGGAATGTGGCTTTTAAGCTGAGTGAAATGAAGAGCCACTGGAGGGTTCTCAGGCAGGAAATGCTCTGGCTTTGTTTTAATAGGCTTACTTTGCCTGCTGTGTTGAGAATTAAGACTGGGATCATTTTGGCAGAGACAGACAGTGAGCCAGGAAATAACATCAGAGGGAAATGAATGGGAATGGCCAGGGTTCAGTAGATGCTGGGAAAAACCATATTGTCTGATAGGATAGGACATTGCGCTGGGGAGGTTGTCAGAGGGAAGGAGCAAGACTGGTCTGAAGCAATGAGGAGTAGAAAGGAAGACAAGTAGCTTGTCACCAGGCCTGATGTGCGGGACAAGGGGAAGGAAAACAGCCACCACTTAAAAGTGCTCTGGGGAAAGCAGAGTCAAGTTCCAGTTAGAACAGAGGCCAGCAGATGATTTCTGTTAAGGGCCACAGAATAATCGTTTCAGGCTTGCAGACATGAGATCTTCATGCTGGCTACCCAGCTCTTCCACAGTGGCATGCAAGCAGCCAGACAGCACTTAATCATTAGTGTGCCTGGGTTCCAATGTGATTTTACTTACAGACACTTAAATTTGAATTTCATGTAATTTTCCCATGTAACAAAATACTCTTGGTTTTTTTTCAACTATTTAAAAACAACTAAATAAAGACTATTTAAAGTCAGTTGAGCCTGAGGACAGTCCTTTGCCAACTTCTCAAACTTTTTCTGGAGGCACTGTTACATTACTTGGAAATTGTGACTTCCTGGAGGTCAGCCCTTAAGCTTTTTTAGGAGGGAGCAGAGGTACCTAATTTTGTGCCACTGTGGAGGCAGTACCTTCTGAGGATGGTACTCAATACCCAAGGTTTGAAAAGGACTTTCACCCTGGCTGGTGGGAACACAAACTATTCCTGGCCCTGGGATTTGACTGAGTCTCCTGAGATGGAGCCTGTTCCTTGGTGGTAGCTCTTACTGCTTCCAGGTGGCTTCTCACATGCACACAGCTATATAAGCTCAGTTGAAGACTCCACAGGAAACAGACCTGTGTTCACTTCCTGGCGCAGCATTCCTGTACTCTGGCCTGCAATTATAGTTGCCCTAATCTCTCTAAATTCTCAACAATCCCTCACTGAGGAAACCACAGGGCTGGGCTCTGCTTGGGTCCCCTGTCCCCTCCCTGTGGCCTCTCTCCAGCAGTTAGCTGGGCAAGCACAGGGCTCTCCTTGTTTTTGATTCCCTTCTCTCTGGGACCACTGTCCCAGACTGCCGATTTCACACCAATGTTTGTCAACAGCTGTTTCACAGATCTTATCTCATGTTTAAAGTGCTGAGGTACAGCAGTTGTTTATTGTTCTATCTTGAACAAAAGTTGCAGTGACATTGAGAAATCAATCTATTATATTGGTAGAGTAAATGAGAAAAGTTTATCAACTCAATAGATGCTGGAAAGGTACTTGGTAAAATTGAGTGAGATATTTAAAAAAAAACTCTTAGAAAACTGGTATTAGAAGAAAAAATTCTTACATCTGATAAAAAGGTCTCTTAAAAAAAAAAAGAAAAAAAAGGAATGAAGTCTTTCTGGAAATCAGGAAAAGGACAACAACTCCTGTATCACGACTTCTGTTCAACACTATTGAAGTCATAGCCTGTATGGTAAGGTAAGATAAGATTGTAAGGATAAGTGTCTGAAAACTTGAATTATTTGTAGTTATACAGAATCTAAAGGATATCTGAAGGTATCCATAGGCAAATAATTACTAAGAATTTATTAGCTTACTGATTCAACAGCAACACAAATTCAATTTTGTTCATCTATTAAGTCGGATATTCAGAAAATGGAATTTTAAAATATTATTTATAACAGCATCAAAAATGAAGACAACTAGAAATAGATGTAGCAAAAGACAGCGCTATTGAGAAAACTAAAAAACGTCATTGAGAGATATTGAAGATTTAAATAAATGAAGATATGTACCACATTCAGATGGTGGACCAGTCAATACTATAGAAATGTCATTTCTCAAGTTGATCTATGGGTACAGTGTAACTTGGACCAATATTATAAAGATTCAATGTAGAATTTAATAAAATAATCATTCTAAAATATTTTTAGATGTCAAAAGAGTCAAGAATAGTCAAGAGACTCTTTTTTAAAAGGAAGAAAAACAGAGAAACTCATTATAAAACTATAATAAGAGAAGCAGAGTACAAATATAGAAAATTAGAGGAACAGGCTGGGGAACTAGAAATATTTACACGTACATAGATCCGTGATATACAGCAATAGATTAGTGAAGATCAATGGAGGGGAAAATGGATGTTTCAGCAAATGATGCTGGGACAATTGGCTATTTGGAAGAACAAAATTGGAACCTTACCTTCATCATTCACAAAACAATTACGGTTTAAAGTATTTCCTTTTTCAACAAAAATGGAACCATTTGATGCAAATCTTTTTAACCTGGTTTTTCTTTAAAAAATCGATGATGAGCACCTTGCCATGTCCATAAATATAGAAGATTATATATAAATGTATATATAATTTTGAGTAAATATAAAATTAATTAGTCCATTAGTTTGTTTCATATATTTTGCTATTATAAATAGACATTATACAAAAAGCTAACTTTCACACGTTCCATACTACTAACGCTTCTTTCATATTCTGAATATACTCTTTTTAATAAGTAAACATTTTGAGCCATTACATGGTAGCTACATTGTCTTTGAATATTTTATTGCATCTGCTTTTATTTTTTACAAAGAGGGGTAGAAAGAAGAAAAAAGTGAATGTGCTGCTACTAGTGATAAGAAGCACAGTATCATATACTTTTATAATCGGCACACAGATGAACAGCACTCAGCATTCTGAAAGTAGCTAATCTTGCATTGCAATCACACACTCACTGAACCCATTCATTGGTATTCCATCATCAGAGAAAAGAACAATGGTAAAAGAACTGGAACAAAGTACTGGAAATACATATTGCCATACTCTGATTATAAAGGAAATGAGTAGCAGAAATTTTATATTTCTTTGTAAAATTCCTCTGGAACAGACTTTTTTAACCTTCATTTATTCACTTCCACCAATGTGTCTAGAATTCCATTATGTAAAAAAGCAAGGACTGACTACATTATGTATTTATCTGATCATTTCTGTAAGATAAATTTCTACACTTAAAAGGCAAGGGTATGCATATGTTTTAAACACTTCATATATATACTACCTGAGACAGGGTGTCACAATTTATAGTCCCATGAAGAATATATGAGACCATTCATTTCCCAACCCATACTGACACTGAGCTTTGTAATCTATGGTAATTCATTAGTTACTATTTTAATTTGCATTTTTGACATTAGCACTTTTGTTCCTTTATCCTTAAAAAGTAGATGAAAAATTTTGATAATATAGTTAGGAGGATTATATAAGATAATAAATAAATGTAAAAATCTTAGGAGGGTACATAGCATGTAGTAAATGCTCAGCAAATAGATGCTATTTTTTCATATGTATCTTTTGTGAATTTTCTATTCTAGGAATCTTTGATAAAGGAAGATATTAACTCCTGGTCTATCACATCCTAATATTTTCCCCAATTTGTGACTAAAAATTTGTTTATAGTTTCTTTTTTAGATAAGTAGACAAATATGTGAATATGAATTTTTGCCCTGGGTGTGGTTTTATAAAGACCTTGTTATCCCCAAATTTATACTATAATCACTTAAGATTCTACTCTAGTACTTCAGTAATTTTATTATTTTAAATTTAATTCTTTAATTCAACTGGAATGATTTTAGATGAAGGGACCTGTTTGCCCAACATTTTGCAATGAATATGCATCACTTTTATGATTAGAAAATAACTCAGTAATCTGAATATTAACATTGGAATCAAATTTCTCACTGCATTCCAATTCTATGCACCATTTTCTGACTGACCAGGACAAAAATGAATAGACTCCTTCAATTTGCATAAAAGCTGAAAGTCCACAGTTCGGAATGACTTTTCTATTATCATTCTCACTAATATAAATTACTATAGTTTCTCCATACCAGAGCCAATGAACTTTTTCTAAAAATGCCTAGATGGTAAATGGTTTAGGCTTTGGGACCACAGTCTCTGTCATTCTTGCCACTATAGCAGGAGGGTAGCCATAGACAATATGTATATGAATGAACATGGCTGTGTTCCAATCAGACTTTATGTATGGACACTGAAATGTGAATTTTATACACTTTTCATGTGCCACAAAATACTTTTTTCCGCCCCCCCCCCCACTTTCTTGCCACCACATAAGCTAGGTAATCAATTCTTCACTTATGGGCTATTTGTAAACAGCTAGAAGACCAGTTTGCCAAACCAAGCTTTATTTTAACATATTTCTTTTTAGTGCATTGTCTATAGCACTACTATCCATTAAATTTTCTTCACTGATGGAAATGTTTTATATCTGTTCTTTCTAATATAGTAGCTACTAGCCACATATGGCTTTTGAGCACTTGAAATGTATACCTAGTGTGACTGAGAATTGAGTCTTAAAATTTAATTCTAATTAATTTAAATAGTCGCATGAGTCTAATGGCTATTACATTGGATAGTGTATGTTATAGATTGGACCCAAATGATATAAGTATGTGTGTGTGTGTGTGTGTGTGTGTGTGTGTGTGTGTGTGTGTGAGAGAGAGAGAGAGAGAGAGAGAGAGAGAGAGAGAGAGTGTTTCTCCTGGGTATCTGAATCCACATATTTAATATAGTTACAAGAATAATGGATATTTACCCAAGTAAAAGTTCTGCAATTTTTTATTCCAGTGGCAAATGAGAGTAGCTATCTTTTTAGCATTTTATTTGTAAAGGCCATTTGTCCTAAGCCCTCTGAAGGCTAAGAATGACCAGAATACCTGCTCAGAGGCCCTTAAGCGTCTATGCCACAAAATGTGCTCAGCTGCTGCTTCTTAATGCTATTCTTCCTTAAAGGCACACCAATCATCTTTTTCCTGATCCTTTCCTCTTACACCCACAGAGTAAAAACAAAAAGACTGGATTAATGTAAGAAAAGCATGTACTCTTCCTAGATACCAAATGCTTTTCTAATAAACAAGCATACTTACTGTCAGGTCAAGCTGGCTATTCCGGGTTGTGATGGACAGCTCAATGGTGGACAGCTGTAAGTCTTTCCAGACCTCTGGGCTCACCTCTTGCGAGAGGGCTGTGGGAATCCAACACAGGTCAGCTTCTTCCACTGAAATTTCCGTCCCCACCACTGACTAGCTACCAGTGGCTCAACTCAGCTTCCCAAGACCTTCTGCCAGCACATCCACTTTAGCCTTATTTACTTCACCCTTCTTACACAGAAAGGAAAAGTGCCTGAAACACTCATACTGAAAGCAGCAACAATACTGACGGAGATGTAGGAGCTAGGCAGCCAGGACAAGACGGCCAGGACAAGACGGCCAGGGAGGAGGAAGTCAGGGGCAGGGCTAAACAAAGGAGCATGGAGAAGGCATTCTGATGAGGTCAACTTCCTGGATGACGAAGGCACTTGTGGACACAAGTGAGGGACCCAGGCAGACAGACACTTCTGTACTCATGCTATTAAGCAGGGAATCCAATAGAAAAACTAAAACAGGTGCATGGGCAGAGGGTGCATAAATCAATAACAGAAGGAGAGTGTGGACAGGGGAGGAAAAAAGGAAAGGAGGGAATTCCAGAGACCATAAAAAGAAGAGGCCAAAACTCCCCTACTGGATTCTCAGCTTTGCGGCCCCTTCTCTTCAGAGAAATCTGTTTCTGTTGCTTTTGCAGTAAACCTCCTTGCTTGTAATCTCTGTGTCCTGTTCTGCAATTCTTTACCAAACAGAGGCAGCACCCCTACGTGATCCTAATACCATAAATGCTAAAGACAAAAAGAGGGTAGAGACTACTATGCCCAGTCACAGGGCATTGTTTGGGCTCTGCTCTGGTGGCACCCTGACTGGTGATTCAATGATCCTAGAGACTGCTCTTGTCCTAGTTATGTCTCTGGTTGTGGGGGGACTGCTTAAGGACACTCCTAAGTGAGCAGGGCTTTCCTGTGCAGTTCCACGTTGCTCACCATCCTGCGGTTGTGCCCAGTAGGAGGCAAGTCTGCGTAATATTCTCCTGTACAGAGAAGGCCGGGAAGGGGTCTCTTCTGGTTCACTGGGAGGTCTCTCTGTAGGTCCCATGTAGGAGATGGAGGCTTCATGAGTCTGAGGCCATTCCTATTAATGTGGAGAGAGAAAAACTTTGGTCATGCATGCACAGTTACTAACTCTGGAAGTAATGTTAGTGTTCTGCTATTCCTGGTAGAAAGTAATGATCTCTCTCAGATGGAGTTCTCATTCATTTGGAATGTGGAATCCTCAAGCTTTCCTTTCCTCTTCAAGCTCTCTTGAGAACCATGAACTCAGTGACTGCTGCCTTCATTGCTCTCCTTAACATACAGCAGGGAGGAGACCAAAATGGACTGCTAACCGCTATTCACAATTGCCCAACCGCCCCCCCGACCCCCGCCAAAAACAAAAAGTCAGTGTGAGTGAGCACAGAGTAGTCATCTCATAATAAACTTATCTTTGGTTTACAATTGGTGACACAAAAATGAGACTGATAAAAATCTAACTGCCTCAAATACCTACTTCACATCTGGAACCATACTTCACAAAGAGGCCAGAACGGTTTATCCCAGTCTCACACTCTAAACCCAGTCCAGGTCTCTCACTTCTGCTTCAAAGCTCATTGTGCTCACCGAGGGCACGCTCATCTACTCCCTGGCATCCCACATCAGCATCATCCTGAACTGCATTGATGCCCACAGGAATAATTAAAACCACACCTTAACTTCTCAACCCTCTGATTCACCACTGCCACCATTTCCATAGCTCATCCTATCCCTGACAGTTACTCAGAGCTATTCCATCTTGGACATCTAAAACCCTGATGGCCCACTCTGTAAACACATTCTGGAGTCTTCTGGTTGATTCTTTTGTTCCCAGTATGTCTGTCTGAGGGAATCACCTCCCTGTTCTCTGGTTTCAAAAGGGCAAATTAGGAAACAGTAACAATCTTGGATTCCTTTTACTCCACTGCTTGCTTATTCTTCCTCAGTTCTTGACATGTGGGACCACCCTTGCCTCCTCCCTCCCTGACACTGGCTGACCTTGAGACACATTCGCCTCTTCATGCAAACAGTAAGCCTACCCAGGTGGTCTCTGTCCAGGAGGGGTTGGCTGTTTCAGCTGGACAAATGGAAATCAGACTGTGACCACAAGTCTAGGCTGCATCTTGCAATCCTGCGGATATTTTCATCTCTATCTGCCTGCTTCTGCATATTTTCATAACTTGGTTCACATTTAGAAGAAGAAAAGAAGGGTCTTATTTTTTGGTCTCTGAGATCCTAATCACAAATTTTTCAATCACATTGTTAATTCCTGTTCCTGATCTCTCCATGTTCTCTCAATATCATATTAAGAGTCTATTACTTTAAATCACCTTTTTCCCCATTACTCTTTGGCCCTCTTGTGACTTTATTCTTTGATAACATGGACCCTAGAGAGCCCCAATTCTGGATCTTGCTGCTCCGTTCAGTATTCCTACATGAGGGCTCAGCACTATTAAAAAGAAAAAAACATACTCCTGTTGAGCACTGATAGACAAACACATTCCTAAAGGAGCATATTAGTGCCACCACAAATTTTTGGTCTCAGGTCCTCAATGCCACTTGATAACCCTAAATCTCCTCTCTTCCATCTTCAAAATCTTCCATGCCACCATCATCACCCACCTCATTTTTGGCAGATCACTCGTTTCAATGAGAACATCAGGTACATTTGTGAGAATGTCCTTAACTATCTATAAACTTGATTTCATCCAGAACTTCCATCTCAGTAAAAACTGCATTGCTTCCTTGCCCCAGGATAATTCTGGATCCTACACTCTTCTACCTGCTCCTGGATTTTTGTCAATGTAGTCATGCTTTCTCAGTCTCCTTTGTCTTCACCTCTTCCTATTCTTTTCTTTTACCCCTGGGTATAAAAACATGGATATTTCTCTTTAAGATTAAAAAAAAAGAAAGAAAGAAAGAAAGACTGACTGACTGACTCCAGGAGCTGCGGTTGTGGCTCAATGGTAGAGCACTTGCCTCAAACACGTGGGGCCCTGGGTTCGATCCTCACACCACATAAAAATTTTWAAAAATAAATAAATAAATAAAGATATCGTGTCCATCTACAACTAGAAAAAAAAATTGGAAAAAAATTTAAGAAAAAACAAAACACTCCACTGATCTATTGTTTACTTCTCTCCAGCTTTTGCATTTTTTTTTAAACTCCTCTTCAAAATCAAGTTTCTCTTTCTTCCCCCAAGCCAAGTTCTTGAAAGGGTAGAATACACTTCCTTACCTCCCGCTCATTCCTTAGCTTTCCTTAATATGCCACTACCCTGCCCCCACTGTAGAGGTCACCACGGCTGCCAAATCCTGAGGACGCATTCCCATCTTGATCTAGACTCTTTGCTGTTGCTTCTTACAATTCTAGAAATTCCTCTCTGTGGGCTTCTCTGTTGGAACTCTCCTAGATTTCTTCTTAGCATTTCCCAGTCATCCTTTCCAGCTTTCTAAATGTTTAATCCCTCAAGGCTATTCCTGGCCATCTGTCAATGGTGACTTCACCAAACCCAGAGTTTCAACTCCACTCACGCACATATGACGTCTAAATAGATTTCTTTAGACCAGACCACTCTGCTGAATTCCACCCAACTCACAACTGTATCTCCATTTCTCTGTTAAGCTCACACAAACAAAATTTCATCTTTCTTCACAAACTTGATCTTACTCTAGTATTATTAACATTAATGAAAAACTAAGTTACCAATCTCCGATACCTTAAACCAAAAATCTGGCAGTCCAGTGTTCTTCCAACTTTTGAGACCTTTAACCTCCAGAGCTCTCTGATCTGACCTGCACTGTCCACATTCATTGTTACTGCCTTAGTCTATACCTTATCACTGAATTACTATAAGACTCTTTTCTCCAATGTCCTTCCTTTAGCCACCCAGGTCTAATCTCTTGACTGCACTGCTGCCAAACAGTTTTTCCAAAATGCAGATTGCTCATGATGTGCCTCTGCTTAAGACTCAAAAACTCCCCAGTGCCTTAAGGATAAAGGTCAGATGGCCCATCAAAGCCTGCCCCAATCTGTCCTCCAGCTTCCTCTCCTGACATCCTACGGCATAAACTGTAATTAATGACCATGGTCCATCACTGTGACGAGGACTTCATGAGGCCCGTCTCTCTAACCAAAATGCCCTTTTTTAGTCCTACTTACAGTTCAAAATTTAGCATAAGTGTCACCTTCACTGAGAAGGCTTTCTGACCTTACTTAGATTTAGGAAGCTGCCCTCTCTGCTTCATCTCATCCTTTCCTATTTCTTCCCTAGCACTTGCCAAAATGTAAATTTTCTTGTAATACTTCTTTCAAGCATATAAATACTTCTTGAAGTCAGAAAACCTCTTGTTTGGCTTGGTATCCTAGGCTTATATCAATAATTGCTTACTGAATACACTGCGGAAACAGTACTCCACCCTTTCAACATATAGTCATGCTKTTTATTCCTAAATGTACCCACTGCTCATCAGTGTGATTACTCTCTTGGATAATAATGCACTTTACAATCCAGTCTGCCTCTGGTATAGAAAGGCAAGTTAATTTTTAAAATCACTATTGTATTTCAGCAATATTAGTTTTTAACATTTAAGTTTTAAATCCAACAGGAATTTTTTTCAGGTTAAGGGATTTATGTTTTCCAAATGTTTTGCAATGGACAAGTATTACTCTTATAATTAGGAAAAAACTTGATAAATCTGAATATTAACATTGGAACCAATTTTCTCACTACCAATTTTCAGATTAGCCAGCCAAACTGATTATACTACTTTGATTAGCATAAAAGCTGATCATAGTATTTAGTCCACAGATAAGGATGATTTTTCTATTAGCATTTCAGTAATATAAATTGCTGAGATTTTCTCTGTGCCAAGATTTTTACTGTGTTTTTCTTTTTGTTTTTCTTTTCTGGAAATCTAACCAGGGCTTTACACATGCTAGGCAAGCACTCTACTAGTGAGCCAGACCCCTAGCCCTTAATAATTTTTAATGTATAGTATATATAGCAACACTATCCAAAAGAACCTTTTCTGATGATGAAAATGTTCTAGAGCTGGGGTTGTGGCTCAGTGGTAGAGCAATTGCCTAGCACGTGTGAGGCCCTGAGTTGGATTCTCAGCAGCACATATAAATAAATTAAATAAAAGTCTATTGACAACTAAAAAAGAAATATTAAAAGAAAAAAATTTTAAATGTTCTATATTTGAACTGTCCAATACAGTAACCATTACCCATATTTGGCTAGTATAGTTTGAAACCTATTGACATTATACAAAAGTACAATTAGATATATTCCATTAGAAATTTTCAATTCATTGGCAGGTACTAATAGAGACACATATAAATAATTGAGATATATGTCATTCTGTTTAAGGTTTGTCTGTTAAAAGTGAGTGAATAACAAAGGGAAGTAAAATATCAAAGAGAAATTAAATATGGTTTTGGTCATGGAAGAAATGAGTTTGTAGATGAGCAGTGGTTTCTTATAAAAACAAGAATGCTTTCTGTAATTGTATATAATCAAATGGACCATTTTAATGTTGGAGTATGCCACATGCATTTGTTACAAGGAATTAAAAAAAAAAAACCTCAAATGCACACATCACAAAAACAACAAAGTAACACAGGGCAGGTTCTACATTATAAATTGCATTTACCTGAAGAGTGCTGAAAAAGTGGGCTGCTTTGATTTTTAGAGGCCCAAGATACCAGTACCTGAGGAAGACCAAGATAAATATGATTAGAATATTAAAAGATACAACAATATGATAGATAGCACTCATGATAAATGATATGTTAGAATGACACTACTATTATGATTTGCTGCTCTGGAGGCTTTGTGGCTTAACATAAGCATACTACAGTACATTTTAATCTGTATTTCAATGCCATGGCCAACTGTATGTAATTAGACAGTAGAAAGATGTTTGCAATTTACAAGAGACAAATAACCAGAATCTGGAGTCCCTAAATTCAAAAGTATCATTATAATACAGAATTTCAACCACAAAATGCAGTTGAGAACACAGTCAAAAGAGCCGCAAAGAGAGGATGCTGAAGACACACTGAGATGATGAAGATGCTGCACAGCCTAATGTGTTGTAGGACACACGATGGGATCCTGTACCCCATGTCCTCTCTCACACACCAACACACCAACAATTAAAATTTGTAAACCAGCATACTTTCACATTACTTGCGTTATGCAGTTTTAGTGGCAAATGTTAAACCAAAGTGAAGAGGACCCACCGAGTACTGCTAGACACATAAAAGTTACTGAAGAAAGGAAGATGCCTATTTGGAATTAGAAAGTAGATTCCTCTTACGTAGAGAAAAAGGAACACTTAAACTGTTGGTGGGATTATAAATTAGTATAACCAGTATGGAAATCAGTATAGAGGTTCCTCAGAAGATTAGGCATGATATGATCCAGCCACATATGATCCAGCCTTACCACTTCTTGGTATTTATTCTAAAGAATTAAAGTCCTCAGGCTATAGTGTTAGATGCATATCCAATGTTTATAGCAGCACAATTCACAATAGCCAAATTATGAAACTAGCCTGGGTATCCATCAACAGATGAATGGATAAAGAAAATATGGTATATACATTAGAGTTTTATTCAGCCATAAAGAAAATGAAATTATGGCATTTCCCAGGAAAATGGAAAGAACTTGAGACATTATGTTAAGTGAAATAAGCCCAAYTCAGAAGGTCCAGGGTCATATGTTTTCTCACATATGTGGAAGATAGAGAGGAAAAAGGAACAGAAAGGTGGTGGTGTTAGAGGTGAGGGTCCTCTCATGAAAATCAAAGAGAGATCAGTAGAATAAAGGAAAGGGACCAGGAGTTGGGAGGAAGGAGGAAGTACTGGGGAGTGATACTGGCCAAAATTATATTGCCATCTCGAGTGCAAGTACACATATGTAACAACAAACCCCATCACTATGTACAACTATAATGTACCGATAAAAAATGTGGGGGGAAAAAGTAGATTCCTTTCTTGAAATTTATCTGTGTTATCAACCATCCTACTTTCATTGCTCCCTACTGATTCTGATCCATTGATACTCATTTAGCTCTCACTATGTATATGGAGGCAAAAAAATATAGAGTATAAAATTCCCATCTTTGGGAGTTTATGATTAGAGAAAATAAACCCCCAAATAATAGAAAATAATACATGAATATATAGGTCATGGTTTAAACCGTTCACTATTTATCATTGGCAAGGGGAGTCAAGAAAGGACAAAAATCATTAAAGGCCTAAAACCACTGGAACAGCCACACTTGTGAAATGAATGGCACAAGAATAAAGCAAAGGTACAGAGCTTAGAATGTAGGTGGGCCTGAGTCGGGTTTAGTTACACAAAAGAGGGAAGGAAGTCATTTTAGGCAAGAGGAGGAGCAAAGATATGGAAAGCTTAAAAATAAAGATATATAAATACATAACTACGGGCCAATGACACAGTAAGCAGAGCCTGGAATAGCAGAATGTGTACAGACTGACTCCAACAGGCAATGTGGAGCACTCTAAATCGTTATTTAGGTTAATACTGTGAGGCTACTAACAAGGGCCTTGGTCATCTGATTTTTTTTTTTTCCAGCTTACTTTATACTTTGATTTTTTTCCCAGTTAGCCAAATAGAAAACATCCTGACTCAGGCAGTTTATTTCTAAATTGTCACCTCTACCAATAGCAAATTTTAATACCAAGCTTGTAGTCTTCCTATGGCCAGCTAGGGAGTGATTTCTTGTATCCCTTCTGTTTCTCCTTTCACACAAAAAGCAACTCAGTGGCCAGTCCTAGTCATGGTATAATATAACCACCACCAAATTTTAAAATTCACTGTTTGGAAACGTGTCAAAATACAGGACAAGTATGTGAGATATTACAAGTATGTGAGATATTCCTAAGAGGCCTGACCTGTGCTTGTATCTAATTGTTGATCAACACATTTTGGAAAGCAACTTGTTCTCACCAGCCTGTTTTAGGGAGAGCTAAGCAATTCTTCTTGGTGAGCTGTGGGAATATGAGACTGCAGATCAAACACAAGGTAATTTGTGGCATCGACATAATCATGGTATACTTGCAAATAAGAAGATGTGAAATATTTAAGAGTGCAGTGTGCAATATAACACAGTAATATCTGTCTTTTGACATTTCACAGTCAGAAATTTCATTAGCGAGAATAATAAAGTGAAACAAGTAAGAGAAATTTCTGTAAAGAAAGTGTGGCAGACTTGCCTGCCAAGTACAGGAAGGGTTTCTTTTTTTTTAGTTGTCAATGGACCTTTATTTATTTTTTTACATGCAGTGCTGAGAATCAAACCCAGCATTTCACACATGGTAGGCAAGTGCTCTACCACTGAGCTATGACCCCAGCCCCAAGAAGGTTTTCTTGATGTGAGAGCTGTGTATGAGATCAACCACAATCAGCTAAACTACACTGAAATCTGAAGTTCTGGGCCTTAAGAAAAAGAAAGACAAAAACACCATCTGCCAGGAATGAGGTGCACCTCACAGGGCACCTCCCTCAGTCCTACGGTGGAAGCCCTAGCCTCCTCAATCTCGCCTCATCAAATGGAACACAGCATGCACTCTTTTCCAGCCAAGAGTTTCATTTCATACAATGGATTCTCCAAAAATAAGTCTATTGCAATGAAAGCCAGCAATGGCCCTCTAATCAGCAACTCTTCAGCCTGTTCACCCATGTCACATCACAGCCAGGTGTCCACCTTTCACCCTTCTCAAAGAGAGGTAGCCAGTGGTCTCTTAATCTGTGAGGCCTTCAAAAAACAAACAAACAAAAAAACACCTCTCAGGAAAGGTACCCCAACCAGGACTGTAAAAGCTCCATTAAACTGAGGCCATGCAATGCCTTCAGCTCAGAACCCAGCTGAACATGCTGCTGTATGGCAGGCATTCAGCTTCCCTTCCTTCTAGCTTGAGCCTAAATGTCCACTCAAATACTGTGACTAAAATTAGAGATGGAGCACTCTGCTCTTCAGCTCCCAACAGGCTACTGTTGACCAAACAGGATGCAAACCTCTGGCTCAGTGTTCCTACCTCATTAATCATACCCAGTTCAACCTCCAGGCCCACCTGATTTATTCCCAGACCACTGTCTTAATACCTCAAAGGCAAGGACAGAAAAAGATTTTTTAAAAACTATCAATGTAACAATCCTTTACTTGCTAACTTTGACGCCAGCATCTCTGAAGGATCCCCATCGTAGGCCAGTCATTGCAAACACAGGTTGTTCCTTTTCACCCTGGAAATTAAATATACTTCATTTAGTTTCACAAATACAATAGCTCGGAACTCTCTATGTGTAAGGACCCAGCAAGTGTTCATGCTGTCCAACAACCCAGATTCTAAAAAGTACGTTCAAACATTAAAGAAATTAACCCTCTTAGCATAGGGAAAGAGAACTTGAATAATCCATACTGTAAAGTGAAAGTAATTTTTATATATTAGGTCTCATGAATCTGTCATCAAGGACATATTATCATACTCCCAGATTGTAAATTAAGGAACTATGCTAGTTCTTGAGCAAGTCACTAATCAGGTCAGCCAGAATTCCTTCTCCCTCAAAAACTTGTCCAAGGCAAAGATAACTTAAGCCTACATTCTCTTTAAAGGACCAAGAACTCTTAAGATATAATTCTGATGTTCTAGGATATATCACCTGAATATTGGAAAACACAAATATATGTCAAGTCAGAGTAAAAAGTGATTCAGATTTAATATAATATTGTATAGCCAAATCTCACATATTAAAATTATTAAGTTTCTAACAAATTGGTGTTTTAAGCAATAATGAGACAAATCATCAAACAAACAATAACCCTAAGAATTTAATACTTCAAAATGAACCTTCCTTAAAGTATATATAATACATATACACCAAGATTCTAGATAGAATTATTTATTTATGTATTCAAAATCATAGCTAAATCCCAAGAGCTGAAAACTAACAGCCACCCTCAATTCTAAAGAGAGCTGACAAATGCTAGACACAACAGAGAGTTTGCTAAAAGGCAGTAGAACCAGTTATGTCATAGGTGGTTGATAAATCATTGCTTTGAACTATGTGAAACCCTAATCAATGAAACACTGCTTTGGGGAACCCCATGATACAAGGTTGCCGGGAGGATGCACATCTGCAAAGCAATAACTATTGATGGGGGAAAGTTCTGTATTTGCCATAGAACTCACTAGTTCTAAAAGCCTTGATTTCTAAATCCCAGCCTGCCCAGAGATAAAGGAGGTTGGCATAACCTGCTAAGCCCCAAATAACTTGTTTTGTCCATCTTCCTCCTGTTTTCCTGAAGAAGTTCTTCCCACTGAATCCCTCTGGTGCACCTGCCCACATAAATAGCTGCTCAGACTCCATTTTGTTGTCAAATCCTGTCTCCATCAGAGCTGGTCTCACCATGTCCCGCTTTCAATTAATAAATTAATTTTTATTTTATTTCTATAATTTCTGGTTAATTTTTCTCAGCTGATTCATACCTCTATGCAGTATAATGATCCCTTGCTGTGTGGATGGGATCATCCACACAGTCAGGATGACAATGGTTTTGGATATAATAAGTAATGCTTTTACCAAAAGCAAGACAGTAGGGTGTCCCCCACACATCACCCCACTACACTAGCATGTGAAAGATTATGACCTGTGTGACCTTAGCACTGGAAGTTGCTGGCTTGGAAAAAGCATGCTACCTCTTCTCTCAGAAGAGGAGGGCTCTCCCAACCCTGTTGTCAGTCCCACTCCCACTACACCAAAATCAAGCAAGGAATTTCTTGGCAAATCACACATAAGTAGGAGAAGCTACAAGAAAGAGACACCAGCCTCTTATCCCTGCTAGTGCAGTAAAGAGACTGGCTTTTCTGCTCTTAGAAGCAGAGATGGCATAGAAAATGGGTGAGAGTGGGGCAACTCGCTGAGTGACCGACAAAGGACACACTGGTTTCCCAGGTGCTAAGCGGATACAATAGACGACAGCAGGATTGAGTTGTTTTGACAGTACCTCATCTAAGAGTCTGGCACAATGGCCACAGTACCCCAGAAGTGAGAGGCTATGGAAGGTACTATGCCCAGGAGTTAAGGGAGGGAGCTGAAAGAGGAGGAGCTAGAACAGATCTCCAACATCAGAAAATGACGTCAAGGGAGGCATCCCAAGGAATTCACATGTGAACCCACAAGAGAGCTTGTACTAGGGCCTCAGCCACCAAGAGAGATCTATAACACCACCTGCTAAGTAAAAAGATCTTTCTCTAACCTTTTCCCACATATCAACAGTATAGGGGCTAGAAACAGTAGAAAAGGGGAGAGTAAAATGGAAGTGCAGATATTCCAAGGAGGAGTGATTACCAATCAATATAAGGAGGTGGGGGAAGATTCTGTCCATATAGTGACATCTGCACAGTCCTGAAGTACACAACCAATACAGATAAGGCCAGAAAGATGATAGGGACAAGACTGTGGCCTTGAAGGCCTTTGGCTTTTATTCAAAGATGGGACCCTACCAAAGGGCTTTGAGCAGAGTGAGGTACCCTAACTTGTCACTGCATCCTGACTGTTGAAAAAAGATCACAAAGAGGTAAGGACAGAGGGAGAACAGTACAGAACCGTGAAATAATCTAGACAAAAGATGACGGTGCCCAGGGCTGAGGTAGAAAAAGATGAAATGCTATATTCTGAATATCTTTTGAAGATAGAGCCAAGGTGATTTCTTGCCTGCCTGTTTATGGAGCGTCAGAATGACAATGTTTTTGGATATAATAAGTAATGCTTTTACCAAAGCATAAGCAATCATGTGAAGTCCACATGATTTCATAGAAATGTTGCATACTGATCACTGGAGATTTATAAAATAGAATAGCAACTTAACACAAGTGTTTTGAAGTAAGAATCCTCAATAATTCATAGGTGCTATAAGGCATGCCACTTAACCCCTGAACATTGGCTTCTATCTGTGAAAACAGAGTTCTCTTTTGCTTGATATTCAAACCTATCTACAGGCGATCTACTAAGAGTATATAAAGGGTTATCACCACTGTAGACTCACCTCCTGAAACAATGAGTAGCACAAACCAATAAATAAAATTTATTTTAAAATAAAAATTATGTGAAATTGTTGTTAATCATAAAATTAAGTGACAGACTAACCTTATAAAGCATTTACGTGAATCAAAAACCTTTCTCACTATAATTCTGCAAAGTCATTCTCAAATATCTTAAGATGCATCTTTATGCATTCGTCAGCAATAAAAAGAGAATAAAATCATGGCATTTGCAGGTAAATGGATGGAGATGGAGAATATAATGCCAAGTGAAATTAGCCAATCCCAAAAAAACAAATGCTAAATGTTTTCTGTGATATAAGGAGGCTGATTCATAGTGGGGTTGGGAAGGGAAGCATGATAAGATTAGATAAACTCTAGATAGGTCAAGGGGAAAAGGGGAAGGGAGGGGGCATGGGGGTAGAAATGAGGGTGGAATGAAATGGACATCATTACCCTAAGTACATTTATAAAGACACGAATGGTGTGAATATACTTTGTATACAACCAGAAATATGGAAAATTGTGCTTTATATGTGTAATATGAAATGTAATGCATTTTACTGTCATACATAACAAATTAGAATAAATTTTTTTTTAAAAAAAAAGATGTATTCATTCATTTAACCAATAAATATTTATTGAGCACCCTACTCTAGGCCTTGTGACAAGGATGAAGGAGCTCAAAGTATAGCAGAGGCTATTTAGACTCAAATACAAACAAAAGGCACATCTATAGGCAGTTCAAATAACAGATATGTAGAAAATTATGACAGCACAAAGCACGTGCAGCTGTATAATGTGTTGGAGAGCAAAAGAGGAGGTCAGGGCAACACACATTTTAAAACAAAACACAAATTTATATATTTTTTATTGACTTTTTTTGGAGGGTACAGATACCAGGGATTAAGAACAGGGGCACTTAACACTGAGCCACATCCCCAGCCCTTTCTATTTTGGGCAAGAGGAGTAATAGAGATCGAATCCAGGGATGCTTAATCACTAAGCCCCATCCTACCCTTTTTTATTCTTTATTTTGAGGCAGGGTCTCACTAAGCTGCTCATGGCCTCATTAAGTTGCTAAGGCTGGTTTTGAACTTGTGATCATCCTGCCTCCACCTTCCTAGCTGCTAAAATTATAGGCATGCGCCATCACACCTGGCTGTTAACATTATTTTTAATTGACAAATCCCAGTTGTACACATTAATAGGGTACAATGTGATGATTTTATATATGTATACAAAGTAAGATGATTGAATCAAGCTAATTAACATATCCATCACCTCACTTATCTTTTTTTGATAAGACACTTGAAGGTTCTTAGTTTGAAACATATAATACATTATTATTGATTCTTGCCACCCTGTTTAATTAGATCTAAAACTTATTCCTCCTACCTGCAACTTTGTAATCTTATCAGTAACATTTTTAAAATAAGGGACCTAGATTAGGAGAGGTTGGGAGAGGACTAGAGAGAAAGAAGAAAAGGAGAGGAGAAAGCACTCTAGCCCAGGAGAAAGAAACAACGCTGTGTGTTTGCTATATCCTCAGCATTTCCCCATGGGATTCCTAAGATAAAAACAAGTGTCCCCAACGACGATGATGGTGATGACAAGATTCCATGGTGAGACAGAATGGGAAACACGAAACCTATCTGGTTTGAAACAAGCTGTGTAGTGCAGCTCTTCTTAGGGTCTTTAGTATGGTAATGTACATCATAAATTTCTAAAAGGAGAAATATAACATGCAGTTTTCCTGAGTTGTTAACTGTCAACCCTTCTCTGGGAGGACTTGGGAACTCCATTCTAAGGTATGTGGTGTAGGTAAGACATGGTAAGGCAAAATCTCAAGACTTGCCGATTGGTGCCCCAACATGTTTCCTCCTCCTTCATCTGGGGGGAAGAGTCTTAGGAATATTCTGTTAGGACAACAGAAAAGTCTTATAATCTCAAGCTTCCACTGATATGGGGTGCTATGTCCTAGCAAGAGGTGGGATGATTCTGGCCAACAAAATGGGCAGCCAGGAATGTTCAAACAGATGTAGAGATGCCCAACCAAGAACCGAATGGGCATAGAGGGGTCAAGATTCAGAAGTATCTGAAGGTCCGTAAAGGAGATAAGCCCCTGTGGAGCTTGTGCCAGACATGAACAATGTCAAAATAAGCATAAATATGGTCACAACGATAGAGAAGAGGCCAAGAGACAAGGTATCACTATATCTTAGCCCATTGAAGGTCTGGGCAGGCAGGCAGATCATGAGATGGACAGATCAGCAAAAAAAAAAAAAAAAAAAAAACACAGCCAGGTCCACACAGCAAAGGAGATGTGTTGCCCCAATTCACAGACACCCTGAAAGAGCAAATCCCTGAGAAAGCAGGGATTTGAGGGAGAAAATAGTTGAAAGAGCGGATTGGAATATAGGCTTAAGGAACAATGAAAAGAAAACAATTCCTATCAATTATTTACCTGCCTAACCTAGGAAGCTTAGGGACTCTAGATGAAGACATAGATGGAGGGACCCCTGAAGAACCTCTAAGTATCTTAGGAAAATGCTCAGAGCCCGGGTCTAAGAAGAAGGAGTCCAAGTAACCAGCCAGGAAGGATACAGAGGATAAGGGAAATGTTCCAGCCCCCCACCATCTCCCCTATCTGGTTCTGTGGTCTAAAAATTGAAAAATCAAAAAGACTAGAAAAAATTCCATGAATCTTTCCAGTAGTTTCTTTAGAGTTAAGTATTCAAGATGTCTATATTGGAAAAAAAACTGCTCTTTAAAAATCATGGTATATTGCCAGGTGATAAAGTAGAAAAAGCAACAGACCATGAGTCAGAAAACAGTCTAGCTCTGTCTCCAACATAGTCACATAACCAGTGACTGTCAAATGAAGATGCTGATACACATCTTGACTCAGTCAGAGGTTCAAATGAGATATGAACACATGGTGAACATTGAAAAAGCTAAATGCAAGACATCATTATAACTTCCAATGACTGCTGCTTTTATCTTTGGAGAATCTGCAGTTAAATGTTTATTGGAGTTTGAGTTGATCTCTAAAAGAAGAATTTGTTGTCAGGCTTCATCTATAATGCTTATAGTTTCAGACTATGCCTTAATGCTTTTCTCCCTATCTGAAAGCTCTTTCCAAAAACAAGGAGAAAAGGGGAAATGAATTAAACTGAGTTGAGTTCCTCAGAAACCAGAGGAGAAGCTGTTTTCCAGGAACTCACTTAAAAGTTTTCTGCTTCCTGGGCTGCATCATCAATACACGGAACCTGTGGTAATTTGGATCTTGGTTTCATCAATTCAAAAAATCAGTACATTGAAGGAAAGAGATAGAGAGATGAGACATTTAAATAAAGCACATCAACTATTTCCAATTAAATTCTAATTACTATAAAATGTACTTCTAATACTTATATAACCAAAAGTAAATCACTCAGTTATTAAGAAATCTACCCTGATATATCCTGTTATTAAGAGAGAATCTTTTAGCAATAACAATGTTTTAAAATACTATCTTCTAGATAACAATCTAGTACTTTACCTAGGCTAGAATTTCTTTAAGCAAAGGTTTTACATTTTGTGAGAACAACCTAACTTTATTATATGCTGAAAGATCAACTACAATATTTAAATCACTTCTCTTATGACCAATGAGGTCATGCTAGAGCCTGGCTATCTCTGCATGAAGAAAGGAAAATACAAGGCAAATCTTAAAAGCTCATGTTTACCAGTTATAAATGCACACTGCAAACTCTACCCAGGGTGACCTCTTATCTGAAATGTTTTGGATCAGAAACATTTCCAATTTTGGAGTTTTTAGGATTTGGGAATATTTTCACAAAGATCACCAGTTGAGCATCCTGAATCTGGAAAGTTCTAAATTTCAGATTTGAATCTGATCAGAATCAAATCTGACTGAATTTTTGATTCAGACAAATCTGAAATTTGGAGCTTTCCAGATCTGGGATGCTCAATCAGTGTTACTAATAGAGACTTTTAGGGCTTGAAGTTTGAAATTATGACCCTTTAGCAAATATCAAGAAGCATATGAAATATAAAAATGTTCATTCTGAAAGTAGCTGGTACTTTTTTTTCTCCCCCTGGTACCAAGGACTGAACTCAGGGGTGCTTAACCACTTAGCCACATCTCAAGTCCTTTTTATTTTTATTTTGAGACAGGATCTCACTAATTTGCTTAGGGCCTCACTGTATTGCTGAGGCTCGCTTTGAACTGTGATTGTCCTGCCTCAGCCTCCCCAGCCACTGGGATTACAGGATTGTTCCACCATGCCTGGCAGAAGTTGGTATATTTTAAGGCCAAATCTGAGTAAAGAGTACAAGAAACTTACAATTTATAGGATGATTTAACAGTACAGATTTGCCTTCTTAGGAATTTGTCCTTTTTTTTTAAGTTATTGATGGATCTTTATTTTCTTCATTTGTTTAAATGTGGTGCTAAGAATTGAACACAGTGCCTCACACATGCTAGATGAGCACTCTACCACTGAGCCACAACTCTAGCCCATGTATTTTGACTAGGGGAAAACAAATTAGATGAAGAAAGAACAATAATTTAACTACTATCCAAGTAAGAATATATGTTTTCTAGGAATTAAATTCTTTTTAAAGAGAGAATCCTGATCAAGAATCGGAAATGGGTATTGAACATTTTCCCCAAAACAGTTTATTTTGGAAAAAATGTCAACCAAAAAATCTAAGTAGTACAATGAATACCATTTATACCTCTCACCTAAATTCATCATTACCCATATCTCTCCACTATATTAGCCTTATCTCTATGTGTGTATGTTCCATAGTATTACTTAATTTGCAAATAAGTTAAGGAATTCACAAATATTTCAGCATGCCTCTCCTAAGAACAAAGATATACACAGACATAACATTGCACCAATGTCACTCTCTAGAAATCTAACACTAATATATAATATCTAATATAGACTTCATATTAAAATATCTCTCTAAATGTTCTAATAATGTCTATCAGGATTGCCACTGATTTTCATTTTTCTGATCTAGGATCTTATACTGGATTTAGTTTTACTTCTTTAGTTTCCCTTAATCTTGAAGAGACTACCTTCTTTTGGATTTCATGACATTGACATTTTTGGAAGAGGCCAGTCCAAAATTTGTATTTGTCTGATACTTTTCTTGTGATGAGATTTAATTAGATTCAGATGAGTTTATCACTTTGGTCAGGAAACTGCATAAGTGCTGGTGCATGTTTCTCAGTATATCACATCAGAAGTCAGATAATGTCAGTTTGCTCCATTATTGGTGGTATTCAGTTTGATTACTTGGATGAAGTGGTATATGCTAGTTTTTTCCACTCTAAAAATGTATTTTTTCTTTTTAATTATTAATAATTTGAGACTATTTGGATATTTGTTTCCCAACAGCTTTTTATCTAATACTTTTAGTATTCATGGATGATCTCAACCTGAAATCAATTAGCCATATGATGACGGAAAATACTAATGTTCTTATTCTATCATTCCATTTACATTTATAAGCTGGCAATTCTGTGATATCACTGGACACTCATGGATTCTTCATTTTTATTTACGGTATTATAATCCATCAGTGTTACTGTTTTTTTGATATTCAAAATGTCCCCAAATCAGTGAGTATGACACCACCAGGCTGGTTCTTTTCTTTCTGTGATGTCTCCATCAATTTTTGAGTACTCCCTTGCCTTTCTGCTCTGCTTCTAAAAAGCATCCCATCACAGAATCTTGATTATTTTTGTTAGGGAATGTTTAGAGAAGAAAATCTGAATGCCAGGCATGTTCACTTCTGTGGGGTGTCCATTGCCTCTAATCCCTTTCAGAGGGCATAGCCAGCAAACGCATTTCTAAAACAATTCATGAGTTTCTCTACAGATGAACCAGAAAATGTTAAACAATTCGATATAAAAATAGGATGTTCTGTTCCCACCTAGGATGTATAGAAGCTATAAAAAACATTATTCCTACCTGAAAATTGAGAAAAAGAAAAACTATAAAAATCACAACTTTTCTAAGTCCATATGAAAGGTAAGATTGCAAGACAACCAAGTAACTTGAGTTCCAAATAATGACAGATTGCTCCAAAGTAAAGATGGGACAGGAGCAAGGTTTCAACTCCAACAAAGCATAGGAGAAAGAATTGGCCACTATATAAACAAGTGAGATGAAATCAGTCACTGTCCTAAGGACTTTATATTTATGAGCTCTCTTAATATTCAGAACAACCATATGAACAGATAAACTGCTTGTGATCCAAAGACAGTCAACAGAAGAACTGAAAATAGAGATGTAACTCATTAGGAAGACATACAGAGGAATTCATAACAGAAGTCAAGAAAAAAGCTGATACATTAAAAAGTAGCATCATATACTTAAAACTACTGAAGTAGTATACACTTAAAATAGATAAGATAGTAAATTTTGTTTATGTGATGTTTACCATGATATTTTTTTTTTTTACTTGCATGTGTGCATGTAGTACCATGGATCAGGCCCTTGGAGATGTTAAGAATACACTCTACCACTGAGATGTACACTCAGTCCCTACCACACACAATATCTTTAAAAAGTAGGATCATAAGCATATTAATTAGTGATTTAACGCATAAGATGTTTTTTTTTGTTTTTTTGTTTTTTGGTGGTGGTGGTGCTGGGGATTGAACCCACAGCCTTGTGCACGCTAGGCAAGCACTCTACCAACTGAGCTATATCCCCAACCAGCACATAAGATTTTTGTTCTGGAGATTAATACTTGGAATAGGGAGGGAAGAGGGACTATTCATTGATGTCTAATTTGAACCACAATTTTCTTTTACATGTACATGTCTACTACTTCCATAATTTTTTCAAAATCGAAGGAAAGATTTTACCTTGATCTGTAAGACGTCAAGTGGAACTGTCTCTCCTTTTACAATGGCAAGTGTGGCATCTGTAATATGTCTAAATAGGAACAAAGAGGAAATTATGCTGTGAAAAATAAGCAACATCTCTCCCCCCACCACATATACATTCCCGCCCAGAATAGGAGTAGATAGGTAAGGAAGATGTCTTTCAAAATAGTCTAAGAAAGCAGAACAAAGGAGTATAAAAGAATATTTATTTAAATATTTATTTATATATTTATAACTGATATAAATATGGTAGAAGGCTCTGATACAGACTCAAAAGAGAAGGCTTTGGCAAAGAGAAGTTTGTACAAGGCATCAATCACTTATTTAACATTTATTGAGTCTCTCCATTGTGCCTTATATTTAATCATAGGAAAACATAGTACTTAAATAAATAATAATAATAATAATAATATAACATCTTTAATTCATTGTAAGAAATTCAGGCACTTAAAAAAAAAACAGTATATCTTTATACTCTAACAGACAAAAGGGTAAATAAAGGACAGGATTTGTTGTAGCTATCTTAACAAAATATAATCCAGAACCCAAGACATATTTCTCTTATTTTCCAGGATTACTAGGATATACTTCATTTTAATTGATGATTCTTTTGCTCAAAGACTCAAGACTATTCATATTTACGTCCTGACAGTCTTTTGAAAAGTACTCGTCAAAGTCACATGCTACTGACATCTATTCAGAGCACTATGTTATTCTGGAGTTTCTTCTTTAATTGGAGCTAAGATTAGACACACATAAATACACAAGGAATAGTCAAAAAATAAATATTACACCAGCAAGTGGTTAGAAAAGAAGATACTTGCTCTCAGAGTGAAAGAATAAGGGGACTTATGTCAAGTACTTCCTCGAACCTCCAGGTCTTGTAATTCATCTCCAGTCTCTCATGGCTGGCCATTCTCATCCTTTAGGTCTTGGTTGAAATACCACCATCTCAGAGACCCACCCCATTCAGCCTGTAGTGAGGGCTTTCCCTATAATTCTCTATCACTAAACTGTTAATGTCCCTTCAGAGATCACGATTTATCATACACTGTGAATCTCTTTATCACCTGCCTCCTGAAAGCTGAAAGTTCTATAAGGTTAGTAATGATTTACGTGCTTTTACCGATCAATGTAAAACCTAAACCTAGCATAGTGCATGGCATATGTAGACACTCAATATTTTCTGAATGAATTGTTTTATTCTGTAAAAAGTACAGAAAATAGTACCATCAATTCCTGTATGTTCCTCACCCAGCCTAGATGATTATCAACTAATTCAGACAATCTTACTTCCTTTCTATCCCTCACATATCCCCTCTCTTCTATCAATTAAAGCCAATCTTAGATATCTTGATACTTCATGCATAATTATTTCATTGTGAATTTCCAAAAGATAAAGGTGCTTTTAAAAACCATGATATACATTATCATACCTAAAATATTTTAAAATTTCCTGTCAACATATTTAGTCAATGTTCAAATTTCTTCATTGAACATTTAATATGTGTGTGTGTGTGTGTGTGTGTGTGTGTGTGTGTCTGTATATATACAGACACACACACACACACACACACATTTTATATGTATGCATTTCCTGGTATCATCTGTAAGTGATCAGTTTTCATTTTTATTTTCTTAGTACTAACTATGAAATCATTCATAGATTTAAATATATTTGATATATTGAATATAGATAGTATTGATACTAAAATTGTCCCAGGTGAGTGAATCTTAATGGTGAGATTCAAGGGCAGTATATAACTACAATGAATGATGAGAAAGAGTAGCCACAGAGGTCCATGTTAATGCTGCCAAATTGAGGAGAAACTAAGAGTCCTTTCCTTGTGCTTATTTAAGCAAGGACAATTAAGTTTGAAAATACTATTCTAAGTCTGCTAATACTTATTTTGTTTATCTGTTTTAGGTTCATGGCAAAATTGAGAGGCAGGTAAAGAGATTTCCCCCACTAGCCCTGCACTCACACATACACAGCCTCCTCAGTTATCACCATTCTGCTCTAGAGTGGTTGTTACATTTGTTACAGTTGGCAAACTACATCCACTCATTCAAATTCCAGAGTTATATAAGGGTTCACTGTATGTTGCACATTTTATGGATTTCAACAAACATATAAAGACACACATCTATCACTATAGTATCATATAGAATAGTTTCACTGCCCTAAAAATCCTCTCTGCTCTGCCTATTCAACCCTTTCTTCCCCCCACTCTGGCAACCATTGATCTTTTTTGTCTCCATAGTTCCACAGTCAAATAGTTGAAACCATACACTGTGTAGCCTTTTCAGATTGGCAGTGTTAATTTACCAGTATGAATTTCAGCTTCCTCTGTGTCTTTCATGGCCTGAAAGCTCATTTCTTTGCTTATTTCTTTTTAGAGCTGAATAATATTCCAATTGTCTGCATGTACCAGGTTATTAATTTACCATTTACCTACTGTTTATTTATCCATTTACTACTGTTTATTTCTTTTTGTATGAATTTTGGCAAATTGGTCCATTTCATCTAGGTTATCAAATTATGGTCATAGAGTTGTTCAGACAGAAGACAACTAAAATGCAACCTGAAGTTCATCATTCTCCAACAATATAACTGAAAGTTCTAAATCAAGTAGTACTAAAGCACAAACAGCACTTCTAGGATTATTTACCTGCAACATTTCAAATTCCAAAAAAAAAAAACAAAACATACTTTTTCCTTGTAGTAATTATGATACAAGAAATCTTGGCAGCAGAGCAAAAAGCAAAGCTGTGTTCTTTTTAAAGAGCCTTAGGCAACTGCCAGGTTAAGAGGTCTACAAAATTCTAATCTAGGACAGAATTACTCGATTACCTAAGAGCCCAGGGGTATGTTTATAAATTAAGCTTTATAAATCTTTAAATTATAAATGGAAGCAGCAATAACAATAGTTTAACAACAGAGGAAAATCAGCTTCCAAAAAATTGACTGCTATCTCAGATTCTAAGGGTTGCCACACTCCAGATAAACTGGCTTTGGGAAAAGCAAAGGGTTCTCCAAAGCAATTGCCTACTCTGATCACTGGCATATGGTATTTGCAGATGTTGGCTAAAGCAGTTCAAATAACTTCTACCAACACAAGGGAAGACAAGTTCTCTAATGTAACCAAGACCTGAACCAGATAGGATTAATCTCAGAGAGGCAAAAAATGTTTGAGTAATTCATTTGTCATTACTATTGTCCCTCAAAAATTCTAAATTGGGCCAAAAAGTACAGCCAGTTAAAACAGCCTCTCTGTTTGCTCGGCCTCAGGATGGTTGGTGAATAGCTGAATGATCACCATTATACTCAAGATTGAAGCATGTGTGATGTTTGAATATATGTCTTATATATGCCTATGTGCACACCTAGTGTTTGATACAGGCACCAAGACTTTTATAAAAATTCAGAACTATTAAGTTATAATAGGTGGCTCCTAAAATTACAACAGCAACAAAAAAAATATACAAAAACTAGCCTAATCAAACAATTCTAAAGAAGGAAAAAAAATCCTTACCCAAAATTGAAAATTGCCTGAGTATTATTAATTCTAGAAGGTAATAATTAGAAAAGTCATAAGGAAATTTTAATTAATTAATTCAACTAATATTCACTTACTGACTTCTTCTAATGTGTCACAAAGCTTACATTAAAGATCATATAACTCTCTCTCAGTGCTCCACTTATTTAGATTTCCTGGACAACCATTTGCTCAAGATTATGTTATTAATCACTGTGAAATCCAGTCCTCAAATTCAAGATCCCTATCTTCTTGAAAGACTAGGGCTTTGTTTCCATAATGCTTTCACAAAAACAGGACAACATTTGCCTGATTTCTGAACACATTGCCTGATTAGGCTAGCAATTTAATATAGATGTCAGAGCCACACTGCTTTTCTCCTCTGCTTTATCTACTGCCTACCACTTTAGGGAGCCCCAAAAGGATGTGATTATATCTAATGGTTATTATCTATTTATATTATCAAGATAATGAAGTCAAGAATACCAATTCAAACTTCACAACAGACTTGATAATTTTGCATGGAGCATACTTACAATAAACAAACGGTCAGTGCAAATCTGCCTTTCTAAAGGAATCTTACAGTGTAAAAGTGCAAGAACAGTTTGGGTCAGAAATACCATCTTTATAACTGATAAAGAACATGAAGTACTCATCTCCACATCTGACCTAGCAGAGTCCCACAACCCAACTGGGAAACTTCCCAGTGAACTGAAAAGTTGAACCTTGATTTAGGTCTTCCTCCCAATTATTGGAAGTTTTAAGCCATCAAACTCAAAAAACAAAAGGACATCAAATGTGATTTTTTTATCCCTAAGCTCGCTCACTCACAAATGCTAACATTCCACATTGACAACCTACTGGACTTTGCTTCCACTTTCGGCAAAGAGGGTATGACTCAAACTACTGGTCTGTCCCAGTGGGATAAATCCAATGGGAATCTTACTGAAGGTAGCCTGGGAGAAAAAAAAAAGAAGAGAAAAGTTATATTGTTAAAGTTAGAAAATGAGTCTTAACAAAGAGACACAAGTATGTCCACCAGGACAAAGTTATTAAGCCCTCCATCTGCTTCCCCACTGTCCCTCCCATATCCCTAGAGCGGTAATCGAATATCACTAAGAGAATAGTTTCTAGAATAATTTAGAATTTAGAGAAACTATTTGGGTTCTCATTAATGACCACTGTTTGGAAGAAACGTAATTCAGATAATGAGGGTCTTGTAGATATTGGATCAATGTACTAGTGTGACAGAGACTGCATTGTTATCACACCACTTGAAAAAGCTGCAGATAAAATTCAAGTAAAAATACCTATCATTGAACAGTGAGCAGGTGAAAGGACACTATAAATTACCTCAAGTACAAATAAAACAAAGAGAATAAGCAAGTAGCAGAAGGTAATGGAATAGTGGTCAATTTAATTAAATGCCACAAATACAGTAGACACTATAAGGTTCATGAAAACTATTTTGAGCACAGTTTACTCTTACCACAGTTTTTCTCTTACTGAGAAGGTTGTTTTTAATTATAATTATTTTAAATTATTATAGAAAAGTACATGGATATTAAAAACAACCATGAGTCTACAACCCAGATTTTAATAATGTTAACAATTGCCATTTTGCTTCAGCTATTTTAAGTAATAAAATGGCACTGATAACTTGAAATTCCTTCTCTTCCTATTCTTGTCTCTCCCTTCCCAAAGAAAACCATTATCCTTCAAACAGAAGACAGGCCAGTGGGATTCCTTTCTACCCATGTTATCATTCTTGCCACGTATCTAGACACCCATTAACGATATGCAGTATTGCTTTATGAATTTTAAAACTTTGTAGAAATTCATCACATGCTTCAGCAACCTGTCTTTTAAAATTCAATATTTGAGATTTAAACATATAGATACTATAGATCTAATTCATTCTTTTAACTGCTGGCTGGTTTTCACCAGGTGACTATACCATGATTTATTTATGAAGGAATTCCTTAAGGAAAAGATACCATAGCAAAATTTTATGTTCTAAATAATGATTGTTAAAAGCTATTGGATACCCTGGATTACCAATTAGAAAGTCCACCATGGGTTGATGAGCACCCTATGAAAAGGCAGTGGTACTCTCCTTACTAAAATCCATTCTAATCACAACTTGTGCTTGCTTTAAAATATAAAATGGAGAAAAAAAGTAAAAGAAAAAAGAGGGAAAAAACAAACAGAAAAGTAAAAGCTAAAATATAATTACTCTCTCTTTTTGTTTTGTATTGAGGACTGAATCCAGAGGAGCTTTACCACCGAGTTATATCCCCAGTACTTTTTATTTTTTATTTTGAGACAGGGTCCCACTAAGTTGCCAAAGCTGGGCTCAAACTTCTGATCCTCCTGCCTCAGCCTCCTGAGTTGCTGGGATTACAGGCATGCACCACAAATCCAACCAATTACTCTTTCTTAAAAGCTCACCTCATCTGTTCTTCGCAGAACTCCAGTAACAACCTACAAATATATATATATAAAAATATCATGAATATGTTTTTCCTTTATCCTAACAAAATTGGGCTCAATTTTCACGGACCACAAATTTACTTGTTTTTCTTCCTAGAAATTATGTTAAATGATAAAATGGATCTTAAAACATACAGTATTCCAAAATATTATGAGCTACATTAGATATTATTACTATTAACCTATGATCAATAAAGACTAAGATAAAATAATTACAAAACTCCACATTAGTAAAATCATGTTTTAAGTTCTACAAAACATAATCTTATAATGTCTACATGCTTTTTTATATAACTGTGATGCACACAGACTAGTTTGCTACTACAAAGTATATATAAAGGAAAAAACAACTTGCTACACTCAGAGAAACCTGCACACAATAAATATTTCTTACTGAGGAATATGAAGACAAGGGAGATACTATTCTTATAAAGTTATGAAAAATACCAGAAGAAAAAAATAATTTCTCATTATTCTACCATAATGAATAGTCAATATTAATCACTTTTTAAAATTTTGGAACACTTCTCAAAAAATTTTTTAATCAATACCTATTTTATTTATTTATTTATTTATTTGAGAGAGAGAGAGAGAGAGAGAGAGAATTTTAATATTTATTTATTTTTTAGTTTTTCGGCAGACACAACATCTTTGTTTGTATGTGGTGCTGAGGGTTGAACCCGGGCCGCACGCATGCCAGGCGAGCGAGCTACTGCTTGAGCCACATCCCCAGCCCAATTAATATTACCATGATTATACCAAATATACAATTTGTTGTCTTTCCTTAAAAACATTTTGTCAAGTCAAGGCTGACACAAATCTTCTCCCTTGATCTTCTCCCACCTCACAGAGTTTCAGGATTAAATGGGGCTGTCAAGTGGTCTACTTCACTGTTTGTAGGCATGCTATCAGTATTCTTCACACTTCATTAAAAAGCCATAAAAACAACTACAAGATCATTAGCACAGCCTTTTAAAAAGCTCACTAAGGCTTACATAAGTGCCAAGTCAAACAGGACAAACAGCCTGTCTGCTGCTAGCTTCTCATCACTGTACACTGAAGACACCACCCAACAGAGATGACAGGTGATAAGAAATGAGGCCTGGGTGTAGATGGAACACCAGAACAATGGGTGGCATCCCCTGGACAGAGCTCTGAGGGGTTCTCAGTGTGCACCAGCAGCACTGGTGTGCTACAGGGAAAGAAGAGCACCTGCAGGACGACATACCATCCTTACTGGACCAAAGTAAGTTTCAAGGATGTGTCACTTTTTTTAATTAATAAACTTTCTTTTTAAAAAACAGTATTAGATTCAAAGAAAAATTGATAGGAAAGGACATTGATTTCCCATAGACCCCAAACTCCACAAATGTATACCCCATTACCAACATCCCCCAACTGTGTGGTACACCTCTTAAAATTGGTGAACCTGTATCAATCATCATTATGACCCAAACTCCACAGTTGATATTAGGGTCCACTGTGTGTTGCACATTCTCTGGGATTCAAAAAATATATAAAGACATGCGTCCATCATTATAAAGAGTAGTACTGTTGCCCTAAAACTCCTCTCTGCTCTGCATAGGCATCCCTCTCTTCTATCAACTTCTTAAAAACATTTTGTCAACTCAAGGCTGATCTTACAGTCTCCATAGTTTTGTGTCTCCCAGATGTCAAGTAGTTAGAATCAGAGAGTGTGCAGCCTTTTCACGTTGGCTTCTTTCACTTAGTAATAAGCATTTAAGCTTCCTTCAAGTCTTTCCATGGCCTGATAGTTCATTTCTCTTAATGCTTAATAATATTTCATTATCTGTCTATACCATTCTTTATTTATCCATTCACCTAGTAAAGGATACCTTATACCTTCCAAGTTTGGCTACTAAAGCTGCTATAAACATTTATGTGCAGGTTTTTGTGTGGACATTGAGTTTTCAATGCCTTTGGAAAATACTAAGGAACCTGACCATATGGGGAAAATATATTCAGTTTTGTGAGAAACTATCCAACTGTTCCAAAGTGGCTGTACCATTTTTTATTTTGTTTATTGCGAATTTTGGTTGTCCCAATAGGTACAAAGTGGCTAAACCATTTCACATTCCCACCATCAATGAATGAAAGTTCCTCTTATTCCATACCTTTAGCAGCATTGGATATTGTGAGTGTTTTAGATTTCAGTCATTCTAATAGGTATGTAGTGGTATCTTATTGAAGCTATGTAATAGTAAAGCAAAGGCAGGGTTGCACGTGTAATTCAGTGGGAGTGTTTACCTAACACATGCTAGGCCCTGAGTTCCATGCCCAGTAATGTAGAAAACAACAACAACAACAACAACAACAACAAAAAAACCACATGCATACATCTGAACATGTAGCCTCTCTTCCTAAAAATGCAGAATTAAGAAATAACATTAAATATGACAGTGATGATGTGAGAATGGGCAAGTCCCCATTTTCTTAAAAGGAATCTTTAAGTTTATTTGGTAAGGAATATTTCTCATAATAGAAACTATGATTCTATTACAAACAGGGCTACTTTCTAAGGGTTTTCAAACCCACCACCATTTTTCCTCATTTTTTATTCAGTTTTATCAAACTTCAATTTGATGATATATAAGCCTTTCTATGTGATGAATAGAGGTACTTACCAAAAAAGAAAAAAAGAAATAAAAGTGTGAGAAAAATTTAGAAATATACTAGTTTGACAGCAACAATCCCAAAGAATAAAGTTTAACTATAACACTATACTCCATTATTCTCAAATCTAATTTCCATTTTTCTCATCTTCAAATGGCCTCAAAGAGAAAGAGTCATACCTCTTGCAGTGTCCCATCTCCTCCAGCAACAATGATCACATCTGTGCTCTCCATCAATTCCAGGAGTTTCTTGGCTTGTCCCTCATAATCTGTCTGAAATACAAAAGACGACTTTGGTAAAGTTATCATCCTAGGTCAAGGTTAAAAATGTGAGATACTGGGGCTGGATTGTGGCTCAGTTGTAGCACATGTAAGGCACTGGGTTCGATCCTCAGTACCACATAAAAATAAATAAATAAAATAAAGATATTATGTCCAACTACAACAAATAAAAATAAAAATAATAAAATGTGGGGTACTTTCTTTAAAGTTTACACTGACTCTTTTCTTAAGTCTTACATAATTGATAGACATGAAAAAACAAATAGCTAATCAAAGCAATTACATATTGTTTTATATAAGTTTTATACTTTTAGAGCAAGAAGGAACTTCAGAAATTATCTAGTCAGCTCTTTACTTCAAAAACAAAATTCAAACCCAATGATTTGCCCTAGTCAAAGGACTCATTTACAGTTCAGTGCAGATTCCATTACATCATTTACCCACTGCTTTTCATCTGAAGGTAGGAAGTCAAGTGTATATGCAAATAGGGAGACACGGAGGTAATGAAAAGAGCACAAATTTCAGAGCCCAAGAGACTTATTGAATCCCAACTCTGCTACTTTCTAGCTGAGTGGCCTTCAACTCTCCAGGTCTTAATTTCCTTATCAATGAAATTAGGTACTGAGGAGGGGTAATAATAGCTTCCTTGTTCTACTTTTGTAAAGCATAATGTAAGACAACTAGACAGGCAAATGTTCATAATTGGTACTGTACTAAATAATACAAGGTGATTGTTTGGTTGTGATTGTGCATAAAGAAATACAGGTATGTTTCAAAGTTACCATAAAAGAATACTTAAGCCTTACCATCTGCTGACAACATTTCATCTCAGATACATGCATGGACTTAAATGAAACATTTCAATCACCAATGATATGTGTATCTCTAAACGCCACAACAAATTTTAAAACAYATAATGCAAGTGACACTGAAGAAGAAAACACTTCTTCCAATTGAAAGTACTCTAGGTACATTAATACACAAATATCTAGATTTCAGATGGGCTAATGCACCTATGGTAGAATAAAAATGTATGTGGTCTTTGTCCCCTGTTCCTGGCAGAGCTCCTGGAATTTACCAAGTGACAGAGGTCTTTTGTTGTTCATAGCAAGCCCTCTCAACCACACTTGAGTGTGCGCTCTAGTGGTGACTCTCCATGGGCCCTGGCTAGCTTCAAGATGGGGGTTGGCATCAGAAAGACCAGCAAAGGACTTAGGGAGCTGGAACTTGTAGCCTTATCCCCTGGCCACCAAGCAAGGCAGGAGACTTTAGACTGAGTTCATATACAAGTGGTCAGTTATTTAATCAATCATGCTTACTAATGGGACACCATAAAAACCCTCATGTTTTCAAGAGTCTGGGAGCTTCTAGTTAATGAACACATCCAGCTACTGTGAGGGTGCCATATCCAGAGGGCATGGAAACTCTCTGCCAACCCCACTGCCTCCACACCTTGTCATATGCATCTTTCCGTTTGGCTATTCCTGAGTTGTATCCTTTATAATAATCAGTAAACAAAATAAAAGTGTTTTCCCAAGTTTCAGTTATTCTAGCAAATTATCAAACCTGAGGAAGAGTTGTGGAACCTCCATTCACAGCTCGATGGTCAGAAGCACAGTGACCTCCTACTTCTGATATTTCAACTGGTCCTGCACTGAGGGTGGTCTTGGTAGGACTGAGCCTTTCACCTATGGAGTCTATGCTCATGGTGGAAGCTAGTGTCAGAACTGAACTGAACTGTTGGACAGTGTGAGAAAATACCCAGCAAGGAGTCACAGGTTACTAAGTCCTAATATGACATTAATTCAGAGGAAAAAGGAGGTTCCCTAAAATGATATCATTTAATTTTTCTACTTTTATTCTAAAAAGGAAATGATTTGCTTCAGAGTTACATTTACAAATATTTGGTTGCTTAAAAAGGAATATGCCCAGTCAATCTTGATTTAAAGGGCTTGTGAACACCCAGAAATGGGTGTGTGTTAGGAATCAGCATGGGTTCACTAAGATGCTCATTTCCTTCTTTGACAAATTATTAGCTCAAGAGGTTGGGATATTATACAGCCACATTGTACCTGGTCTTCAGCAAGGCCCCTGACAAGTTATTCCATGATCCCGCTGGACAAGGTGGAGAAATGTGGAAACAATATGCTAGAACACAATGCAACAGATTAGCAACCAATGAAATGTTTGTGGCCCCAAAGCAAAAGGCTCAGCAGAATGTCAATTATCAGATTACTATGGACATTTCATCAGGGCTTTCCCTTTAACCTCTTCCTAAACCCTTTGTCAACAATTAGGACAAAAAGTAATTGACTGGACATGTAAATGGTAAAAAGCTGACAATCTTGCCCTCCCTTACTTCTCCAACCTCTCTCCCTTTGCTCATCTCACTTACTATTCCCCCAACATGCCTCAGAGCCTTTCTATATGTGATATCTTTGGCCCATGATCTCTTTTCTCAAGCAACCATGTGACTCCTTCAAAGGTCATTTTATCAGACCAGTCTTCCCTGGCCATCTGAACTAAAACCAGCCCCCTCATTAAAGTTTCCTCCTCATCTTTCTTCTTAGCACTCAGCACTATCTGGCAAAACAGTTGTTTTTTTGTACATTTATTTTTTATCTGTGTTCTTTCCTTTCAAACTTTGAAAGAAAGCTCTTTCAGGACAGATGGTTTCTTTTGTTTAGAATGTATACTCAATACCTAGAACTGGTCTTAGCTATGGTAGGCACTCAATAAATACTTCCAAATACAATATATATGAATAGGTATATTTGAATACTTTCAAGAACAATTAATATACATGAATAGGTTCATCAATGAAAGAATTCAAAAAGATCTTGACGGATTTAGCAGACCATAATTAAGAAGATTACATTAATAAGAATAATGCATTTGAGGTGCTGATCTTGGGAAGAAAATATGAAATGTCCTAAAAGAGAAGAACAAAAAAGTAGCTTAATCACAAAAAAGCAGCCTAATGACACAAAAAAACAAAACAAATAAACAAAAAAACCCCAGTTACTGACCTTATGTCTCTCACAAAAACTAACTCCAAGTGGATCACTGAACTAAGGGTAAAATGCAAAACAATAAAACTTCCAGAAGATCATGTAGGAAAAAGTCTAAGAGATCTTGGGCTTGACAATGAAGTTTTAGCTACATTACCAAAAGCAAGATCCATAAAAGAAGAAATTAACAGAGCTGGGGTTATAGCTCAGTGGTACAGCACTTGTCTAGCATACAGGAGGCCCTGGTTTCCATCCCCAGCACTGCAAAACAAAAAACTAGTTAGTAAATTGGATTTCATTAAAATGAAAAACATCAGCTCTGAAAAAGACACTATCAAGCCAGGTATGGTGGTGCATTGCTTGTAATCCCAGCAACTCCAGAGGCTGAGGCAGGAAGATAGCCAATTAGAGGATAGCCTGAGCAACACAGAGAAACCCTGTCTCAAATAAAAAATAAAAAGGACTAGTAATGTGGCTCAGCAGCAGGGTACCCCTGAGTTCAATTCCTAATAGCACTAAACAAAACAAAAAAACAACAAAAAGACACTATTAAGAAAATGGAAAAACAAGACACAACAGAGACAAAATATTCACAAAATACATTTCTTATTCAAGGACTTATTTTAAAAAAATACAAAGAACTCTTAAAACTCAACAACCCAATTAAAAGAGCAAAGATCTGAATAGAGGCCTCATCAAGATCTGCAGATGGACAGTAAGCATATGGGAACATTATCTGTCATCAGGCAGGGAACTACAGATTAAAACAAGAAGATACCACTATATCTCTATTAAAATGTCTAAAATACAAAAGAGAAAACAGCAAATGCTGAGGACAATGCAGAACAACAGAATGCAAAATGTTGCAGATGCTTTGGAAGACCGTTTGACAGTTTGTTATAAAATTAAACAGACTTACATATTATCCAGCCATAGCATTCCTAAGTATTTACTCAAATGACTTAAAAACTTATGTCCACAAAAAAGTACACATTTGTAGCAATTTTATTCATAACTGCCAAAATAGGAAGCAATCTAAGTATACTTCAGTGAGTAAATGGATAAATGGCAGTATATCAAGATGACAGAATACTATTTAGCTACAACAAATAGCTTTTATGAATAAAAGAAATGAGCTTTATAAAGTTACAAATAGACAACGGAGGAAGGTAAAATGCTACATGAGAGAAGTCAACAGTTAGCATAGTGCTACATGAAAGACTCTAACCTGAAGAGGCTACACACTGTATGATTCCAACTATATGACATCCCTAAAGGTAAAAGTACAGCAACAGTCAAAAGTATAGCAAAAATGGACAAAACTATGTAGAGAAATAGACAAGTTAAACCAGAAAAAATCCAGGAAAGATAGAGATTTGAATCACATAATGAACAGATCTTACATAATGAACATAAACAGGACCTGGTACCTAATAATTGATATGAATCATTTTTAGGCATATACAGAACATTAATGAAAGAAGACCACATTCTGTTCTATAATACAAATTCCAATAAAATATGAAATTATATTGATTACCTTTTTACCAATGAAATTAAATCAAAAATCTAACAAAATGATAACAAGAAAAACTTCAGATTTGGAAATTAAAACATGTTTGAATAGCTCAAATTAAGCAAAAATCATGGTGAAATTAGAAAATATTTAGAAATGAATGATAATGAAAGTACTATATGTCAAAGTTAAAAGTTCACTATAACATTATTCACAATAGCCATGATAGGAAGCAAACTAAGTGTCCAAAAATGGATAAATGAATAAAGAAAATTTCCTTAACTAAAAAACACATTTCAACATAAAATAATGGATCATTAAAGTCAAAAATTCTTTGTGTATTTTTACCTATGGCATAATGGCTCACCTACATAAATTATTTGCTTTCTCTGTTTTAGAATTTCTCCATCTGTAAAATTATCCTCTTATTTATTGTCAGACATGATGATCTTCAGGAATAAAGTCTTCAATGTCAAGGATTTAAGAAAAAAAATTTAAGTAAGTTATAGAATACTGAAGCAGTAGAATAGAATTTATAGCTTTAAATATATATAATACAAAATAAAGATGAGAATGAATAAATAAGCATCAAGTTATAATGCCAAGATGGCAAGAAAAAAAATAGAATGAAGGAAATAATAACAGATCAGAAATGAATAAAATATAATCTCCCACGAAAATAAGAATAAGCCAAAAGATGGCAGGACTAATTATAGTGGAAAACCTTTCATAAGACTCCTAAGGGGAAAAAAATAAAAAGGGAAAAACTAAACAATAAGAAGAATGAAACAGGCATTTCAGATGCTATATAAATTTAAACTTAAAAAGAAGATATTATGTAAAACTTGATCCCCTCTGATTTGAAAACTTAGATGAAATGAACAAATTCCTTGAGTACTTCTAGAACCATTAAAGAAATTTAATACAAAGAAAATCTCCCTTCAAAGAAAACTCGAAGCTCAGATGGTTCTACTCATGAGTTCAATCAATCATTCAAAGAACAGATAATATCAATCTTACATGTAACTACTCTAACGTCTCTTACCTAGAATCTAACACATTGCAGGTACTCAAATGTCATCCTCCCCTTTCTCGAATCCCAAAAACAAACAACTGGAAGATGTCTCAGAAAAGTTGGAAAAGAGTTAACCTGTATATAATCAGACTAAATCACCTTTTAACCTCTGTGATTTAGTCAAAGTGTGCAATACTAGCAACAGGTTAACCAACCAACTTGGAAACACCTTATGGAATGTAGGCACCCATATATGTAAAATTCAACAAGTAGGGACTTCCGGCATCTTCTGAAACAGCACAATTTCTTCTTTTTTTCCATTTTCTTCTCACCTAAATCTGAAAATGCTAATTTCTCACCATAGATAATTCCTTACCAGAAAGAAAAACATTTATATATTTGTAGCACCACCAAGAAATTAAATTACTAAAACTGGAGGGTTTCCTATTTTGAGGAAAGAATTCTGTCAGCTACAACAACTTGTATCCTTCAAGAGATAATTCCATCTCCTGTCTCAGATGAAAGGAGCCAAGGTCTCCATGCCTCCACTTAATCCTGTTGTGAAAATGAAAAGCTGACAATGTCACAAAAAACAAAACTGCTTTTATTAATTATCAGAACAAAATACAACACTGATTTCTTTGCTCTTGTCTTAAGTGACAAGTGATTTCTGTTAAGAAGACAAGAGCAGAAGATACATTAAAGGGGTGATGGCTTTGGCAAAAATCAACACTCCGGAGCATTCTCACCTTAACGACAGTCACATCCATGCCAGATAAATGTAAAATCGGGGCAGCATTTTTTTCAAACAGAGTCCTGGCTTTGCTGCAGACAGAGGGGGGGAAAATATAATATTTTAACATAATACTCAAAAGGAAGGATTCCAAAAAACCCAACCATCTTCTCTGGAGTAGAATAAGAAAGACAAAGGAACATGTTTCTTTATTTGTTCAGGTATGGGAAGTTTATTGATGAGTATGAATTTCTACAGAGAGCAAAGCAGTGTGTCCCTTGTCTAATGCAGTCAGCTCTTATCCATTTTGGATGCCCATAGTGCACATGTGTGTTCCTCTTGAGGAAGATGAGACAGTAGATATGGCCCCACTCAGAACAACAGTGCCAATTCACTCAACATGCATTCACTGAACGCCTACTGAGTGATGGTCATAGGTGGAGGAGCTGGGGACACAACATCACAGAGAGCCAAAGACTATTTATCCTCATGGACCTTAGTTGTACTCCCTGGTATATTCTTTTATTCTAGTGGAAGAAAGGGAGGGTATCCACTGCAATATCATTCAGCCCAAGGGAACAGACTTAACAGAATATTGCTTTTTTTTTATTATTATTATTTCTTAGTTTTCGGCGGACACAACATCTTTGTATGTGGTGCTGAGGATCGAACCCGGGCCGCACGCATGCCAGGCGAGCACACTACCTCTTGAGCCACATCCCCAGCCCCCCAGAATATTGCTTAATTCTATCTTAATAAACACAAGCATTTGGAAAGAAATACATCATTTTTGACAATTTCTAATACTAGGAGTATCTCCATATCTTGAGTTTTAAACTTGTAGTGAAATCCCTGGAGAAAAATCAAAGATCTTTTCCATTCTGCCAAGAAAGGGAAATATTCAAAATTAATGTAATTATGGGAGAACTGGAGAGAAGCTGACCCCAAGCCCCAGGCTCAGTCATGCCCTCCTCTGCACTTCCTCTTCACTTTCCACACCCCATTAGAAACTTTCACAGTGATGAGGACTAGAGATTTCCATGATTGTCTTCAGGACTACCCTGAAAGTTCTGCAAAAACAGATGCCAAACCTCCTTAATCCTTGAAACATGCATGACATGTTTCAAAGCTGCTCACTAAGTACAGGATGAATTAACTTAAAATGAGTGAATAAACCTGCCCCAAATATAGGCATGTAAATTCTGAGGAAAAGAATATGACATAATGGTGATGTCTCAAAATAAAAGTCATTGGGGCTGGGGATGTGGCTCAAGCGGTAGCACGCTCGCATGGCATGAGTGCGGCCCGGGTTCCATCCTCAGCACCACATACAAACAAAGATGTTGTGTCTGCCAAAAACTAAAAAACAAAAATAAATAAATATTTTTTAAAAATTTTCTCTCTCTCTCTCTCAAAAAAATGAAAGTCATTGTTACATTTCTTTAATACTTTATGTACTTTGTGTAACAATTGAAGTACTTTGTGTACTTTAAACCTATGATGCATGTCATTCTGATAGTGAACTCTTGTCCCATTTTTAGTCAGGACTCAAAACTGTCCAGGAATCAAGGGATGCAGAAATTGCAAAAACCGCCCCACCCAAACCCTCACAACGGCAATCTCAAAGACAAATCTTTGTTAAACCATACCAATTAGCTGACCAGTCTTTTACCCAAATATTTCCAATTATCGCCTAACAAAACAAATAATGCTTTTAAAAACTCAATGTCAAACATCAAATTTTTATATCTATATTTATGCAACTTCTTTCTAAAAAAGATTATTATTATTATTTACCAACAATGCATTCTTTGACTTTTATACTAGAAAGAAACTCAAAGGCCACTAATGTTAATCATGTATAGTTATGAAGAGACCAAATTCAATATCCTGTAAATTAAAAAGATATAATCACCAAATGGCATACAGAACACACAACATTTCTTATGAATTAAAATAGAACTGAGAAACCTGAACAAATTTTCATAAGAACCATCAAGCCCTACCTGAGCATACAATAAATAAAATACAGTCTACCTTGTCTACTGCTCTGCAAGGTTATCAGAATGAACATAAAAGGCTAAGAGGCCATTTCTCCTTTCCAGTTCGGCATTTCTGGGGGCTTAACCCAGCAATAAAGGGTTGAGTCAATGATACTGCAAACAGTTCTCTTTCCAGGGTTGCTATCATTGCTGGAGTAATAAGAATGGAGCAGTTGAAAGTAGAAATTTATTTCCTAAAAGCAAAACTCTGGAGAAGTCTCAATCTGCCATATCAATCTCAATAAATCCATAACCTCCTCTGAGTTCAAGAAAAAAGACTTGAACCTTTAATGTTTATTCATATATTTTTGTGATGTCCTGGGTTCAGTAAAGCCCTAATATAAAGGTGAAGATGTCTCCTTATAATGTTCTATATAAAAGATTGAAAAAGAAGTGTTACCAGTAAGAAATACATTATTTATTATATAATTAAGGGCAAGATAGCACCAGGGCTAAATAAAAACTTTATGTACTTACAGCAATTTCCAGGCTCAGGCACACGCACAAAATAATTACTCTTTAATGTATTATTTATTAACTCTAAATACACAGTTATCTTATTTCTTAAAGCTCTTCTGAAGTTTTAAACCAGTACTACATAATGAAATAGCTACATGATAAATTATAAATTATGTGTCACAGCAGAGCCACAATGATAAAGATGGTGCAATTAAATAGTGAAAGCTTATAAAAAAAAAAATTCCTGAGTTTCAGAGTAACTGCATCCTAGAAGCATGGAGGGATTCACCTTGTCAGAACAGGCAACACCTTAAGGGAGGAAAGACTCCACTTGAGTGACAGAATCTTAGCCCTGCCTTTAGATAGAGGTTATACTTTCAAATGAGAACCACCTTTAAAAATGCAAATACATTTACATGTTAAAATGTAAGCTGAACCTAAAACTGCCATCTACGAGGTCGAGGTCCTGGGTTCAATACTCAGCACCACAAAAAAAATAAAATAAAAATAAAGCTTCTCTGAAAAAAAATTATTAATTTAAAAAATGTTAAGCTATAGAGTGAGTCCTTAGCATGCTCAAGGGCCTACCTTTAATCCCTAGCATCAAAAAATGTACCTCTTAGAAATACAAACTCGAAGAAACTGATTATAGTTCAAGCAAACTGCCATAAACTTCTTCATCAGAAATTAGCAAGTAGTAACCTAAAAGGTCTCTAAAAGAATAGAGCACAGAAGAGTTACACCGAAGTTGGCAGAAAAAGTGCAGAGCTCTTGGGAAGGGTGGGACAGCAGAGTGGCAAGTGTTCTGCACCCAACAACAGCCTCTATGCTGTTCTACTGGAGCTTACTATGAAACAGAAATAGCATTTAACACTTCACAGGCATTGTCTCATTTAATACTCAAGACACCTAATCAATATGGAATGTACTATCACTATTTTGATATCACTATGTGACATCACTATTTTGATGAGTAAACATCTGAGGCTTTAAGAAGAGTAACTTCAAAGTATCCCAGAGTTAGTGAGCAGCAAAACAGTATATAGACAGGTCCCTCAACTCTGAAACCCATAATTTCTCCCCTGCAGGCCACCAATGACTAATTACCTTGGGTATGGTGGTGATAGTGCATTAGGACTTATTTACTTCTTGGTTATTTAATAACTGGCATTAAACAACAGTGATCAAGGCATTTGACTGGTGGGTTTATGGGGGCAAGCAGGTGGCTCCAATAAAGCCTGGCAAATATAATGTTAAGCCCATTAGACAATGTGTAGGTGAATACCCTACACTGCTGATTAAGAAGGAAAGCATGACTCGTCCTCATCTCTGTGAAGTCAGGTTCACTACTCCCCAGAAAAACCCAGAGGAACTAATTGCAGAGCCCATGCCAAATGTTGCTCTAGACAACAGTAGCCTTCCCCTTAGAGTACAACCCCAGCTATACTTTTTATTATTATTCTTAATGTCATTTCACTTAGGTCTTATGAGATCCAGTTTAAAACATGTTTATTAATTGCCCAATCCTCAGAAAAGCCAAAAAGAATAGTTCATTTCCCCCTCAATCCTCTCATTCTATTTTTAAAAATAAATTTTAAATTATTTCCCCCAAAGCTCTCAAGATTTTTATATTCACCCTTTCAAATGAATGAGAGCAGCATCCAGTTAACATCATAAAACAAGGTTCTATCTTGTTTTTTCTGCCCATGGTATTTTTGTCACCAACAGACTAGGTTCCTATACACTTCCTCCCCACCGCACCCCTTCTCCATGGACACATCATTAGCTACCAAAGCCCCAACTATTACTCTTCACATCTTAATTCCTACAAGTCCCTAAATGACAGTTACAGACTGCTCTGTGACATTAAAAGCACATAATGGGTCACGTCTGTCTCTAGGTCCCTACCCCATGGGCCATTATCTTAGCTGGGAATAGCAAGTATGCACCAAGACCTAGCTCAAGGTCCATTCCTTTTGGAAAGAATGTTCTGCCTTAGCAAACACACGGTGCTCTTGGCCATCTCTGAACATCTTGTCTACAGAGATGGTCTAATGATTTATGCCACACAGCAGAGCATTGTCCCCAGGGGGACCACTTCCAAGCAGATTAGACTTCTTTGTGAGTGTTAATTCTGGAATGATTACTAAACYTCAATTATACAAGTTTGCTAAGCATCAATTACCTTTATAGTTATTTCACATTAACTGTTAATGCTACACCGCAAATGTATCTTTTTGCTACTAGGGTATTAAACCTAGCTCTTCCAGTTCCACACAGACTAACTAGCTGGCTGAAATTCTGTGATTTCTTTTCCCCCTTTAGAAACATTGAACATATAATAAATCACAAACTGAACTACCCTTTGCAAGCTGCAGGGTTGAGAAAGACAGTTGCCTTCTTCACTTGCGCATTGGGAGGAATTAATTGATTGCCAAACTCCTGAAAAGGAAAAAAGAAAAGTTTTCAGTAAATGTCCTTTTATTCAGCTAGTGATCACATATATTTTTTCATTCCAAAAGAATTTACTTCTAACAGACATGTGATATACTCTGGAGAAAACAAATATTTATTCACAATCTCATATTGACAAAACCCATAAAGAACAACAACAAAAAAGAAAACAAACAAACAAACAAACAAAAAACCCTGCAACATTAATGACAAAAAAAATCCTGCTTCACCTACTAGAGGTAGTTTTTCTCCATAAAATATGCCTAAAATTATTATAAACATAACAAGTAAGGCCACAGGCTGTCATGAGAGAAGTTCAACCCATGTGTCTTATCAGAATACCATCTTTTTCTCTTTCAGTTTGGTACTAAAACTTATTCATGAGAAATCTTTGGGTTGCCAGTTAATCTTCATAGCTTCATACATATTGAAATTAAACCTAATAGTCTATGTGTCTCCTCTTCTTTGCAACCCTGTATAATAACTAAAATAGCAGCAACTGGCATGGGACAAGAAATGTAACTCGTAATTTACTAAGCACCTAGCATTTGCCACCCTCACATATATTATTCTTAGTTCTGAGAAACCAAGGAGATTTAATGCAATTTCAGTTTTATAGACTAGAAAGCCAAGATTACAACAGATTAAGTTACTCAAAGTCACAAAGTTACTGAATTACAAGTCTAGAATTCACATTTATCTAGCTCTAAAACCCCAAGTTCTGCTTTATGAACAATAAGGATATGGTAGAATTAAGAGGTAAAAAACTAGATGTGAGGATTTTAAAATGGGAACTAAGTGAGAGCTACTGCTACAATGTCTGGACTGGAGAAGACAGTTGACAAAATGAGAATTGGAAAGCACAAAAAGAAAACAAATTAGTTCTTGGGTGGTGGGGAACAAATCTGGGTTAAGGGGTCAGAAGTCTAGTGTAGAAGTACAAAGTAAAGACTAGAGAAGAAAGAAAGTTATACAAAGATCTTTTATTAAGTAACTCACTCTAAATTTACCCTACTGACAGTCCACTAGAAGTCCTCACCAGTATTTCTTACTAAAAACAAACAAACAAACAAACAAGATCCCTTCTTTTTTCTTAAACACTCTTTGTTAAAAAAAAAAAAAGTTTCTGCTATATTATCATTTCTATTGCTTTCACTCTTCCTTAGACCTTAATATTTTACTGCCAAATCTCTAAATACTGCAATACTTTCTTTTTCTACCCATACTCATCTAAAGTGTGATCAAAAATAATTTTATTAACCCAGTTCTCTGGCCTGCCCACTTCCAAATCTACAGTCCTAGATTAGTCCTTCTTGTCCTGGTTTCCTCTCTGGAATGCTTATTCACTTGCAACTTCAGTCTCAGATTCACAGTGTATTAAGGAGTTTATGTGAGATAACATTGAGTTGAGTTTATGTGAGATTTTTTTTTTAAATCATTCTTTCAAGAATTTAATCTGAAAAAAGGACATGGAAGAAGTAATTATAGAAGACTATAAGGATGAATCCACTTCCATTCTGTCAGGTGGCAGGAGCTAACCATGTGCTGGAGAAGGGGACAATTAGAATGGTAAAGAGAGGTCAGTATGTGAGAGGGAGGAAATTAAAGGAACACTGTCCCTGAAATATTGAGGAGCTGGAATTCAGAACAGAGGTGGAGGCATTTACTTTAAATAAGGGAGGATGTCTGAGGTAGGACTCACCTTGAATTTGATATTAAAATTTACTTGATAATTACCTTGATTATACATTGCATACATGTATCAAAGTATCATACTGTGACCTATAAATATATACAAATACTGTGTCAACTAAAAATTATGTTAAAAATTTAAAGTTTATTTGAATGAAAAACTTGGAATCATGAGATATTTTAAAATCAAATTCTTCAAACAGATTTAGAACAGATAACAATCAGTAAAGTCAGGAATTTATTAATAGTACCTGTTGTGATTGTCATTGTCATCCATGAAAACATTTCAGAAACAAACATGAGGTTTGCCACCTACTTCCACTAAATGCTCCATTCTTTTGCCATTTTTTTATTTTGATGAGCTATTTTTTGTTGGGGGGGGCATTTCTGGCTTCATAAGTTTAAATGACATATAATGAAGAAGGAACTAGTCACAGAAACTCACCAGTGAAGTATAATATACAAACGGGACGGGGGGGTGGGAGGGACAAAATGTGCTCTTAAATTTAAAAGGATTTACAATTCTACTATACTTAACCACAACCAGATAAATAAAGTTTAAGGAAAATCCCATGGAATTCTGATAACAGTGCTCATAGTATGAATCCGCTGTGTTAAAGAAATGGGCTTTAAAATATGAATCAACAATTTTAAGATTTGACTTTCAGAGGTAACACCTGCTCTAAACTGATACTCTTGGGGATTATTTGGATCAGAGATGATTCAGAGTTTAGCCAGATTTTCAAGGACAACTGCAGACATGAACAAATTTCCAGAGCTTCAGCCAGTCCAGTTATGTGTTCTTGGGAGTGATCCAGAAAAACAAGCCTAACGGGGTGGGCGTTAGAACTGTTCTTCACCAGATGGTTCACTTCCTCCCTTCTACTCCAAGTTGGCTCTCAGCCTGATTCATCCCCTGATAGTGGGAAAAAATTGCCAGACTGCACTGACGCAAGACCCTGTGCACATCCCTGGAGTAGCATGGGTTTCCTGCACCATGGAGATAAGGGGAGTTTTAATTTTATCACAGAAAAACAGCATTACCTGAGCTTCTTGACAGGCTGCTCTTCTTAGCAGGTTATCACTATCAAAGCAAACAAAAGAGAACTAACATTAGTATTAACTTTCATAGGAGATTAAGAGCCACACAAAATTTGTGGGGTTTATTTTTCAAATAAACGCCTCTCTTCCCTATAAATATCCAAGTAAAAGTTTCTAAAAGAGCTGATCCTGATAAGTTATAGGCATATTTGAAAAATACATCTCTATATGAAATTCTGCATTAAGTGCTTCTACTGTGTAGGAAGAATAATACCCTCTCCCCACAAAATGTCCATATCCTAATGCCCCAAACTTGAGGGTGTGCTATTTTACATGGCAAAGGGACTTTATACATGTGATTGAATTCAGGACTTTGAGACAGTAAGGCTGTTCTGGATTGTTGGAAAGAGCCTTAAAGCACAGCAGCTTTCCCAACTGTGATCAGAGGCAGATGTGACTCCACAAGGATAGTGGATTGCAGGCTTTGATGAGGGAAGGCGGCCAGAATCCCAGGAATGTGGCAGCTTCTAGAGCTGGAAAGACAGGGGAAGGGATTTCCCCTAAGGCCCCCAAAAGGATAGCAATTTTTGCTGACACCTGATTTCAGCCAGTAAGATCCAAGTCGACTTCTAATCCAGAAGACATAATAAATTTATGTCAAACCACTAAGTTTGTGGCAATTTATTAGGCAACAATAAAATATATACACATATCCTGATTTTTTTCTTATCTAGTAGAAATCAATCAGGTCATTTGTCAGAAATAAGTTTGATGTTTAGTTGCTTCTACTACTATTTTACCTAAATTTCCTATTTTTTATATTACTGTCAGACTCTCAATTATATCATAAATAGAAAATTTTGTCAAGAGGCAAAATTCTGGCTTTCAAAAAAGCATTCTGTCAGAATATAATCATCTATTTAACATAAAGGTCTCTAAAATGTGTCCTAAGAGCACTCTGAATGACTCTGATTGCCTACAGGGCCCCAGAATCTTCCCCACATGAGAGTATGTGTTCATGCACATTGCTGACATTGATCACCTGGTTAACAACAGTTAAGGAAATTAATTTGTAGAATTTAAAAGGTAAATAGGGTTGTTTTATTTATATTTACTTTCTAGATTCTTTTTATAACAGTAAGGACTTTGAATTTTGCATTTTCAAAGTAACTTCAAATTTGATTTTAATATTTAAGGTTGAAGGAAAAGAAATGAATATAAACAACCTGTGGGTTTTTGCCATAGTTCTAGTCAAAGGCTGCTTGATGCCTTTTCTTCCACAGCTAGGCTGTAGAATAACCCCTCAAACAGTCAGCTTCAATAGGAAAACACTATCCAAAGGGAACTATCAACAGTGCCAATCTGAAACCTGAGAGTGATATTCCATAGAACCTCAAAAGATAAAAAGCTCAGGGAAACCAATCCCCAGTGAAGTCTGGCCCACAGCTGGCCCTGGCAACCAGGCCCAAGCCCCAGCTTCTTGTAAGACTGCCCCACCACTGCCCAGGAGGCATGAGAGCTTTGTCTTCTTCTCCTCCTTGCCCACTCAGGACTCCCAAACACACTTTGCTCTGTTCCCTGCATCCCTCCCCATCACATGTTCCCAGTGAATCATTTCAACATCAACAAAAAACCAAAAAACATTCTATAAGATGAGGTAAATTCAGGTACAAATTAGTAAAACATTTAAAAATAATTAACATGCTCATAAGCTTTTATAATTTACTTGGTACTTCACATTTAGAATCTTAAATACAATGTGAGATAAAATATTGAACCCACCATAACCTCTGGGTCATAATGTAATATCAGGTTTCCCACAGTAACCTGGGCATGGTTACTAGATCTCCCCTGGACTGTGCTAACCCCACACCAGCTCCCACACCATCCTGGGAATGCAGCTTCCAGCCACTCACCCCTATGCTCCCCAACCACTTCCTTTTAATTTTTTTTCTGGCAGGCTGATTTGCTTGTTCCTCCAATCTCCTATGAAATTTGCCTGTGCCTCCAATCTCCTATGAAATTTGCCTGTGGATCCTTCTGCACAAGTCTTCTAGGCCTTTAAAAATTGCAAACCTGTCTCTCCATCCACATCCATTTCCTCTACTTCTTCCTTATAGGTCCCTTCCCCACTATGGGGATGGATGTCTGAAGGCCACAGACTTCTCTGGTTCACAAGCAGAGAATACCATCCTCGCTGCATTTCAGCCACAGATTCCTGTGTACTTACCTAGCTCCAAAGAAAACTACCAAATGTATATAAGAATAATGGTGTAGCACTTTGGAACTTTTCCCCTGCTAAATTCTTTATTGCTAAAAGGAAAATTTTGATGGCTAACTTATAATTAAATATATGAAAGTCCTCAGGTCTCTTCAGCTTATTACTACTGCCTAATTTATCAGAGTGCTCCTCAAAAATCAGAAGATTTTATGATAGTTAATTCCCTGAATTCATTGTCCCAAATACAATACTCTGTCAATGTTCCCTTGAGAAAGCCAGAACATGTACCAATATAGATACTACAAAAGAAAATCCCATTATAATCATACTTAACTTCAATATCCGAACAGTATTACGAATCTTGATATTTTCTGAACGAGTCTGTTTTTAAAAATCAAACACATTCTTAAAGAAAAAAAGATTTCTTCCATTGAAATGTGGTAGTCGTTAAGTATCTGAGAGGGATAGGTTCTACCCTCCATAGATATCAAAATCCAATACTTTCAATATTTAATATACAAGGTAAATGTTATGTAAATAGTTGTTTAACTGTATTATTTAGGGAACAATAACAAGAAAAATCTATACATGTTCAGTACAGATGTAATTTTTTCCCTAATAGGGCTAACTATACTCTGATGATCTACAGCAAGCTCTGAAAACTATTTCAAAAAACAAATTCCCAAATTGATTCAGTAATGGCAGCACTGTTAGAATAGAAAATAACTTAAAATTCATAAAGCAATACTGTTTGCCAGTGTTTTAGTTAGCTTTTTGTCACTGTGACTAAAATGCCCAAGAAGAACAACTTAGAGGAGGAAAAGTTTACTGGGGATCACAGTTTCAGAGGTGTCAGTCAAGAGATGGCCAGCGTCATTTTTCTAGGCCCAAGCTGAGGCAGCACATCACAGGGGAAGGGCTCAGTGGGGGAAGCTGCTCAGTTCAAGGCAGGTTCAGGAAGCAGAGAGAGAGGAAGCGGGGAGAGGCCACAAGGAAGATGTACCTTTCCAGAGCAGAAGTAGGCTTCCAAGGCACACCCCCAGTGACCCACCTTCTCCAGCCATGCCCCACCTACCTACAGTTACCACCCAGTCCATCCAAGCCTGATTAGTTACAGCTTTCACAATCCAATCATCTCACCTCCAACCATTTCTCCATTAATACAAGAGCTGTTGTGGGACCCTTCATATCCAAACCATAACAGTCAGATAACATGGCAATTGTTTTTATAAATGCTTAATCTTTCTAACAACTTTGCAAGGGTGGAACTACTATGTACTATAGAATTTTCTCATTTTTAAGAATGATTATCTCCCACAAGTCCACTTGTCCTTGCTTCTACATTTAGCAAAATGCATGTTTTCCTGTTCCTAAAAGACACTATGGACTTTATACCTACAAAGATTTGAACATTTCATCCCTCACTTTAAACAAAAATTCCAAATTCAATGTGACCAATTCCCTCACCTTACCACACACAAACTTGTTTGCCTTATCTTTCTTCTTAGATTATAAACTTCTTGAAGTCATGGATAATTCACCATTCGCTCTTCCCCAGCCCACAGCATAGACTCTTATAGACAGAGAATACTCAATAAATACTTGTTAATAAGTAAGTGGCAAATGTTTGAACAGGAAGGATCAACTATATTCACATATGCAGACTATGTCCTGGAAGAAAAACTGAAGGTTATACTTAGTATGAGTATCTGGCATTCTTGAACTAGCAGATCAGCTGAGATGGTTCTCCAGTATGAATCCCACCAAAGCACAAAAGAGTCATGGTGTAGAACAGGATGAAAACCCAGAACTGCCATGCGAACTATATAGATCAAGATGATCCCAGAAGGTGTGCATGTCTGTATGTAAAATGTAATGGCACTAGTAACCTCTAAAAAGGCTAAGTGAAGAGTGCCTTTTGGCATTCCAGGAATCACAAAAACTGTTGAACTGAGTCTGATCATCAGAAAATTCCAGATTGCTAATGGGTCAAGAATCTGAACGTGAACCAAAGATCCTGTTACCAAACAAATAAAGTAACTGTATGTAAATTCTAAGCCCATGTTCTTTCCAAAATTCCAAGCTATCTTCAGGGAACTGAAGTTAAACACAATTTGCAAGAGGCACTACAAAACATAGTCATATCAGAAAGGATCCCTGAAGACCTACCAATATTGAAATGTGAGTTCTTTGACAGAAATCAGAAGCCTCTGGATCAGAAAATGAAAAAATCTGCTGACGTCACTGCCTGAAGCTTTAAAAGAATATGAACATGCCTACTACTACAAGTAACGGGATGCTCTCAATTTATTCCAAGTCATAAATGTTTTATTTATTACCTCAGGACTGCAAAATAAGTTCTTTCAATAACAATTTTACACAGAGAGAAAAATCCCATTGATCCATACTGTTTCCCAAAATGGGTATTTCCCACTACAGTCTAGAGGCACATATAAGTCCTACCACCGGCTTTTCCCTTGATGCATGCAAAGAGTTTTGCTTTGTACAAAACAGATTTCAAGTTTAGATGCATAGGGGTTTTTAGCCCTTGTTCCCTCCTGACCTGCGGGAAAGATGGGGAGAGCACGCCCCGACCAGGACGAGCCAAGAAAGGAGAGGGCCAACTGACTGCCCACATCCCTCGCCAGAGGACAATCAGACATGTCAGGGAGACCAGTCAAAGCAGGAGCAGTCAAAGCAGGAGCTCGTTTATTGAGAAAACACACACAGCTAATATAATGTACAGGAGCCAATCAGGATAAAGATCAGCAGGGTGGGGAGAATTCACATGTACACCCATCTTATAGGCAGTAATGGGAGAC